GATTTGCCAACCGCAACGCAATCAATTGAATCCAGACAGGCGTGGGTGAGAAGGCAGACTGCCATCCATCCATTTATTCGTTTTCGTCATGTAGAATCGACCACAATAAAGCATGTAAGTGGATTAAACTCAACCACTCATTAAATTACGAGTGCGCTGCTATGAAGTGGGGACCACAACAACCACAAAAACATCCTTTGACCAGGGACTCCGTATTAATATGTCTCAATAACAGAAATTGTCAAACAGCTGAAGGGACAACTTATGCGGAAGGGCCAGGCCACTTTTCCGACTGCTTTTCCGTCAGCTGGCACATCAGCAAGTCAAAGGACTTGAATGGCTTGCACAAAATTCGCTGAAATGTTCCACACACCCCAACGACTTCCTGGCCATTAATGCGATTGTGACGCTGCCTGAAAAACCACACTGTCAAGCAGCTTAAAGAACTGCCGGCCTCCTCAAAGGAATAACGGAAGACCGAGTTAGGGCCAGAAGAACCTGACGATACGATTCTGTTATGGACTTCCGAGTCGAGTAAGTCGCAGAGGACCAGAGCCATGCTAGATTTCAATGGACATATCAGTTAACGGCGCACCGCAAGAAAGTGTCCAGAGGCCAGGGAATGGCGTATCTGACTGCCAGCTGGCACATTGGAAAAAGTGGGTTAGGGGCATGATGGTGGTTAAAGTTAAGGCTACGCCGGTTCTGGCTTGCCTTGCTGATTCTGATTTTGCTGTATGGCTCTTTGGCCTGATGTGCTCGGACGCTTGTTAGGAACACATTGTTTGCATATCGGAGACGGTGAGTTGAGAAAGGCCCAACTAAGTGTCTCGCTTTAATTATTGTACTTTGTCAGAAAGTCGGACAATAAAAAACACGTGCTTGACATTCTGTTGCGTGTTTAGCTCAATAATTTTTAGTGTACTATACGTATTTATCCAAAGTGGCAAAACGAAGGCAGAAAAAATTAATTGTCCGCTCCCTTAATTGCCGGTTTTCGTTGCACCAAAATCCGCAGCAGTTGCAGCAGCATTGTAAAAAGTGTCTACGGCACACGAACGGATTCCACGGCAAAGGAGGAATCGCGCTGCAGATTGCTGGGTCAGGTCAGTTCAGCTCAGTTCAGGTCAGGCCAAGCCAGGGATCTGGGATATGGGATAAGGGAGTGGGAAAGCCGGGTGAAGGCCGTCCGCTTGGCCGTAGCGGCTCTCGGAGCCCTGCTCTGCTGGTGCAGCGGAGCTGACACGGTGACCTAAAGCGACAACAGCCGCATGCAAAAGGCAGCTTGGAGCACAGAAAGAAAAGCAGCTCGGCTCCCTTTTCCCTTCGTTGTTGGCAGGCTTGAATCCTCCTGCAGGATTTCGTTATTGGCTAGCGGTTTTTTTGCAATTTATAATACAACAAAAGGAAATCTCGTACGTCATTTCCGATATCGCAAATCTACATTTCGGTGGTGATGCTTAAAAAAGAACACACCACTTATCATTTATTTTCGTTCTGTGTAGTCGCAACAGCAACACCGTGGAAGTCCGCAGACAACACATAGAAGTTGTTTGCTTTGTGCCTTTGCCTGGCTGCGGGAAAAGCCAGCAGTGCTCATAAACAATGGCCACGGAACGGAAAAATAGGTCCAAGAGAGGCTTGGGCAAGAGCATCTGAGACTTCCTCGACGCGGTCGCTTGTATGGTAGATGTTTTAGCTGTTTTGTGCTTTTAGGGCAATTTGGGGACATCGTGGCGTATGCGTGTCGTGTCTGCGCTGCCTTTGCAGGTGTCAAGTGCCAAGTGTATAGTTTACCGCAAAGTGCTGCCCTGTCTCGCTTTACTCGCATATGAGTGTGCATGTTTTAGTTTTCATAACCCGGGGCGCTAAAAAATAACAACAAAGGGCGCTTTCCATTCGAAAGCCACTGCGGCAGCTATAATAGCCACCGCATACTGGCGCACACACACGCAGACAGCAGGGCCTTAAATTGTTCAATTCAAAGGCTTCTCCGAAGCATTTACGAGCGACAACAGGCAGTCAGGCAGCCAGGCAGTCAGCCAGGCAGGAGCACACAACGAAGCCTGGGTTACGACCAAAGGGAAACTCGTTAAATGCCATGGCTGCCTGCATATATTGTTGGTGGAATATAAAGATGGGCCTCCTTTCGCCGTTCGAGGCGACTTCAAAAGGAAGTGAAAGTTTTCTTTGTCATCTACTAAGGCATTTCCTGGCGGATGTTTATCCGTGTTAAACCCAACCGATCCTACTGGGTTCAAAGCTAGACTTTAAGGCCGAAAGGGTTGCTTTAATGTGGAAGCGTCACCCGGAATGGTAAGGACGAATCCGGTCTTCAAGTGGAGACTGCAATCTCGAAAACATTTGCCCTATCCGTCGGACTGTGTGTACTCCAGCCAACAAATTAATTAGTTTTCAACACTTGAGTTGCTTTAAATGGCAATTCGTATAATTAATTTCGCATACATTGGCACGAGAAGTGCAAAGCAAATCGAAATCAGCAGAGCAGTCGGAAGTGTTCGGTTTGCTAAGGCTGAAGTGGGGGACCTCCAGGACCAGGTCAGAAGTCACTCCGGTGGCTGCATTGAGAGACACATATCCGGAGCCATCGAGAGCCAAAGGAAGCAATTTTCCTGCCGAATGCGTCTGCACAAAGCGAAGATATTGCAGAATACACAGATAGCAGGTTTGGTACGAGTTGGGGCATCAGGGTGTGCATGCAGTGCTTACGTTGTGGCCAGTCGATCAGGACTCTAAGGGCTCCTTTCAGCTCCCTGTGCAATCACTCAAACGGCTAAGAAATCAACTGCTGAAGTCATAAATTTTCAGTTTGCAAGCTGCAAATTATTTCAGCATCATCCTCGGCTCCCTCGCCTTCGCTGCTGGCAAAAGTTAAATAATGCAAGACCGGCACTGCATGCGAGTTTATGTGGGAGGGAAATTGCCACATTGACTGGGCCAATGAAAAATTGTGCAGAAATATTTAAACTGCAATTCCAAAGCGATTTGTTTTATGGCCCTGCTCGAGCATTGTTTCACAGGCACCCAGACCAGACCGCTCTGGACCCGGATACGGACCCGCTTCCGGATTCCACTCCGCTGCACCCGGCGGCGCGGAAAACTTAACTCGGATTTGATGTGGCCAAGCAGCTGTTAATGCTGCATGATTTATGCCCTGCCCACCGCCCCCCTTTTCTAGGCAGCAGGCAGCACATTATATGCCACTAAATCAAGGCTGGAAGGGCTGTGTGCGAGTACGTCAATGTCGCTGTGAGTTTTTGGCAGAACCGAGAGTCCTGCCAGGGGATGTGTGGTCAAAGCACCGCCGCTTCCGGTTCCGCTGCTTCCGCTCAGCGGTCGTAAATTTTCTGCAGTCTCTTTGCATATCGTCCGGATTATTATTTTATCGGAGCGGCCTCTGCAGAACTCTTTCCAGTTGCCAATTGTCGAAGCCGTGCTTCCAAGTCCGCGCGAGCCGAGTGTCGTCGTCTGTATCCCCCTGCAAAATGATTTGTTTGGCCGCCTGCAGTTGGCTTGTTTTTCTCGGGCACCGCGGTAAGTCAACAATCACCGTCGTGCGGCATTTAGTTTCGCTGGCCCACTATGAATGGTCTAAGCCCTGGGATTACTATGCATTAGTCCGAAATGAGAACTATTATATTTATAGCGCAAACAGTCTACACATCACTTCTGCAGCGCCCAGGTAAATGGCGAAAAAAGGGTAGCGGCTAAAGCCTAAGCTTTTACACTGCAAATGAAGGGAGATCTCGTGCTCAAAGTACAATGAAAAAAACCGAATAATAACAATATTGAGAACCATTGCCTCTTTTTGCGGGTGCTGCGACGGAACTTGAGTAAAGACTTGTACCTCTAGGCATTGCTGCTCTGCCCCCTTGATCTCGCAGTGTATCCGCAAAGCCATTAGACACGCCTAGCAGGCAGTGTCTGCCGTTGGCCTGTAATAAAAACATAAAATGTTGCACATTATGCAAACAAACCCACATGCACGGGGTCCCGCGCCCGCACACACCCACATTTCAGCTTTGACGATGGCGCCGCGTGTCTAACGGTTTCGTTCGCCATTTACAAACACACATGTACACACAAGGACGAGGACGAGGACGAGGTAGAGGACGAAGATGAGGACGAGGACGAGGACGAGGACGAGGACGTGGAGGAGAACGCACACAGTTACGGACGGATACCTTGTGCTAAGCAAACTTTGGGCCCTGCAGCCCAGTGTGTGGAGTGTGCAGAGAACATTAAATTTATTTGAAATTATTATTATGCGCATTTACCTAACATTTGCATAACCGTCAACGGTTCGCAAAAGAAGCCCCTCCTCTGTGGGCCAATTTGCGAGTGAAATGTGGCGGGAATCGGGCCAGAGCAAAAGCCGACAGCTTGTAATTTGATTGAAAGGTCCGCGAGGAGTGATCCAGAATAAAACAGTGGCCTAAAAATCTTCACTGGGGCAATGGCCGTCCGATTTAAAAGCATTTATCACGCCACAGGACCTGCGGTTTAAACTTGCCTTCAAAGCCGAACTGTTACGGCGACCATATTATGAATCCGCTTAATGCACAGGTTTATGGCTTTAACTGACAGGCATAAATAAGCAGCAGTAAAAATATAAAAAATTTAAGACAGGGAAAAGTGCATAAAATAAGAACATAACGCATAAATTAAAAGCAGTGCACACTAGATGCGACCACATCGCACACAAAGGTGCACACACATTGGAAAATATTTTTAAATAATTAAATGCTGGCGCTGCACTTATTTGCACCATTTACCAGACTGTAGCCACTTGCTGCGGATGGAAAACCACCTAAAATGGAAATACAATTACAAACACGAGGTGCCCTTTACTTCAAAATTTTGTGTACATTGTGTACTAGCCGTCTTTAAAAAAGTCACTAAAGGACCGGATTTATGTATCACTAAATCCGAAAAAAATATAGGTTGATATTTCCTCGTTATCGATAATAAAATCATTATTATACTCATATGTATACATTTTTTATGTAAAGAGTGGGAGCAAGTTGGCATGAACCAAGCGTCTTCCCTGTTCTCCTTCATACTTTTGTGACTGCAAACCAACACAGAGATGTTGTTTTGTGTGCCTACACACAATAAAATTATATAAACATTGCAACCTGGGTCGCTTTTAATTCATTTTACTGGTCGTTTGTTGTATATCCGGGGATACTTTTTGTGGCTCCTCTTTCCTACACTCCGCCCAATGCAAGGGAGTTGGACAGGACGAAGCATTGCTGGGTGGTTACCGACTGCTTCCGGCCCTCGAAATCTATGTAGATGTCGAACTCCAGGTCGAAGATGCTCTCCGAACTGGGTTTCATCCCGAACACGCCCTTAATGGTTTCGCCAGTTTTGACAGGAAGCGGGGTCTCCAAGTAGAAAACGGTTTGGTTCCAGTGGGTCCAGGGAGCACAGGGCGAAGTGCTTAAGCTGACTCCTTGCGGACTCTTGCTGAACCCCACGTCGAAGTAGGCGGTCAGGGCGTGGACCATGCCGTTTCGGGTGACCTTGAGCTCGAAAAAGGATCGAAAGTCGGCAGACTGGCGGCCAGCGCTGTACAGGTCCAGCGATTTAACCAGGCACACCTTGCTCATCACCTGACCGGCGGTCACGTGCTCCACCACCGCCTTTGCCTCGCATCTGCGCCGGATAGCCGAGAGGTCAAAGCCGTGCACGTCGTGCCAGAAGCCGAGGTCCTGGTCCCGCCCCTCGATGGCCGCCAGATAAAGCTGTGCTGTGTCCGGAAAGATGTGGCCCCCGGCCACCAGCCACTTGTCCCGCGCAAGTATCAGTGAATCAAGCATGTTCTCAGAGAAAAGGCAGTAGCTGACGAAATGGGGTTCGGTTGGGACGGGAAAAAGAAAAGCATAGGTAAGAAAATAGCCATTAGTTGATAGAAACTCAAAAAATTCAAATAATATTATACAAGTTTTAGGTTTTCGAGTGGCTATCATTTGAACTTAGCTTTGCCTTTGGTATTTAACGTACCCCATCCAGTCGCACACAATGATGTCCACCTCTTGGACATCCTCGGGCAGCTCAATGTCCTCCACTTTTCCACTTATTACAGTTATAACACTGCCGTATCCATTGTCCTGTGCAATCCGATGAGCAAACTTTGTAATGTTCGACGCATCGACAGCCAGGACCTTTGCGGCCCCCGCCTTTGCTGCAAACAGTGAAAGGATTCCCATTCCGCAGCCCACGTCCAAAACAGTCTTTGGAATTTCAGGACATTTTAAATCAATCTCTTTACTCTAAAGATGCGCTACGTACTTTGTTTTTAAACGACTCGTTGCAGAGTATGGCCTCGCGGAATGCATTTTTCCTGACAGTGTCCTTCAGCAACCACTCTTGCACTTCGACACGACCATAGAGCGTGAAATACAGGACCTCTTGTTGGTCCCTTGGCAAGTCAGCAGTTTGATCTGCTCCGGCACAGCTGCCATCGACCATTGAGTCCTTATTTGCTACGTTGGCCAACATCTGAGAAGGTTAATTCTTGGAAACCATGTAAAATGCGTCGTACGGAAATCTCCCAGGTATGTTGATGTCGGGCAGAATGTAAAATGGGTTAATTCGCAGAGTTTTTCCTAATTAATTTCTTAAATTTCTCCCGCTCCGGCCGGGCATTGACTAATTATAAAGCTCATTAGCGCACATAAATAAGCGTTATGCAAACATAAATTTTATTAATACATCCAGCCAGCTCCTCTAAGATACTCCGGAACAATGGACCATGTTGGGTCGGGGAAGCAAACCAGTTTGGCGGGGGAAGCGCCCGGACGCAGGATATCATTCAGCCCGTCCTCGCAGTCATCGTCGTCTTATCCCTCCGACACAGAAAACAATGTCTTCGTCTAGTCGGGCTCGCAATTATGGCCACATTGCTTCCGGACATTCCCAATTCGATTGTGGGAATGGGACCGAGAAAGTGAAAAGTGAAAGATGCTCTTTCATTTGCCGTTGTCCTTATTTTTTCCGCCTTCAGCAGCAACAACCGCAGCATCGCAGTATTCTTGACTTAAGCAGGGCACGGCAGAGCGTGAAAACATCATAAAGATGAGAAATAGCTATCTGCTTCATATCTGGGGGACAGCGGTGAGCAGGGGGGCATTAAGCTGCTCTGCAAGCGGCCCTAAATGAAATATCACATCCTGCAGAGGAATAAAAATCAGCGTCGGTAAAAAATACACACAAGAAGAGGGCAGGAAGCAGCCGGAGCTCAAACAGGAAGGCGGATGATACACACCCAAACTCGCAGACGGACGATAAACGCTCGCAGCGTCAAAAGACAATGACAAGACAGGTTCCCGGGATGGGTACACTCATAGAAATTTTGGTGAACGTTAGAAATATGCCCTTTAATTAAAGCCTCTCTTGCATCACGAACGCATCAACTAGTGTTCACCTTAAGTATAGAAAAATGTACATATTCGTTTTGAACTTGGGCAATAATTTTTTGTTTTGTATGCCGGCCGAGAGTCAAGAGCTTCCCAGCGGGAAAGTGGGAAGGAGGTTTTTAGAGTACTTGAAAACCTGCTTCTTTTAGCAGGCGTAGGGGTAGGAGTAGAAAATTTCGTACCGCTAAATGGGGTGGGTTTCTGAATATGACCTTAAGTTACAACGAAGTTGTGACTAATTATTGTCTTTCTTCAGAATATGCACGGTCACATCAGTATAAAATGTCGTGCAAAATGTGTCAAAAGTGAAAAAAAGTTAAGTTTATTCTAAAAAACAAGATAAAGGTAAGTTATAACATAAATATTTTTGTTTGTATATCCTTATTTCAGCGTTACGGATATGGTGAACATAAGCATTTTTACAAAAACTAAATATTAGCCGCCAGAGGCGGTTGTCAAGTAAGTAAGTGAGTTTTTTATTTAAATTTATTTTTCAATTTCACAAGAACAAACAAATGTTTCTTTTCTAGAATTTGTAATAGATTCGACTTCAAAGATTCTGTCCCTTGTGTTAATATTAACGGCAAATCTGAACGTGCGCAAGCGGACATTCCGATTTTGTCATTTGAAGAACTCGGCCATTTGGACTCCGATGCCGAAGCCAATCCAGAAGCATTTGTAAGTACTCACTACATTTTTAATAAATTTCAATAGTCATGCTTGTTACTATGTAATTACATTTTTTTAAATTCATATAATAATTTCTCCAAAGTACTGTATGGTAAGTATACTTGTTTTTCAAAATTTATCTATTTTTCCCAGTACTTTTTATATATTTTTTGATTTTTATTAATATGTTATATATTAATATATTATGGTTTTTATTTTCAGAGTCACTCAGAAACGACAATTACAGTCTTCGCCAATATCAAGATGATCTGCGTTCATCGTTCACTGAGGCAAAAAATATAATATACAAAAATACTTATGACAAAGGTCCTTGGACTGTATATAGATTAATAAATGCATATACCAAATTAAAAAGTATTGTTTTTTACATGTGGAAATTCTGTAAAGCGGGAAGGCCAAAACCCAGTGGATTTTGGCCTGCATTCAGCAGCCGTAGGTCCAGTGGATTTTGCCCTGCAATCAGCAGCCGTGGGTCCACTGGTTTTTGTTCTGCTTTCAGCAGCCAGAGCATCCACAGGTTTTTGGCCTGCAAACCTCCTTTACCCCTTCCTTTTTTGTGTCACCCCCGTGTATTTTGAAAGGAGAGACGGCAAAAATGTGAGGGGTGAAGGAGGTTTTTGCCCTTCCGCTTGTATGAAGAAACCACTGAAAAATAGCATATTTTCCACATCTTTTTTCCCGCTGGGTTTCCAAAAGGGGTTTTGGTAGTGGGTCGATCTCACAAACAGGAGTCACACACAGCAGCAAGTACAAACACAAACACAAACACTTAGCGGCCGTCGCGTTCAAGCTGCGCGTTATCCTTTGTGTAATTTCTGGTTTAATGAGGCGGCATTGGGATGGACCCGCCCTTATCCGCCCTCCCAGCGGGAAAAAAGATGTGGAAGATATGCTATTTTCCAGAGATTTCTTCATACAAGCGGAAGGGCAAAAACCTCCTTCACCCCTTACATTTTTGCCGTCTCTCCTTTCAAAATACACGGGGGTGACACACAAAAGGAAGGGGTAAAGGAGGTTTATATGTAAAAATCCACAGGTTTCAGAAACCCACCCTTATTTAGCGGACCGAAATTTTCAACTCCTACCCCTACGCCTGCTAAAAGAAGCAGGATTTCCAGTAGACTTAAAACCGAAAACCTACTTCTAAAAACCTACTTCTCACTTTCCCGCTGGGCTGTCACCCTCAACGATGCCATAGGTAAGCATTTTTACACTCATACATTTTTACGACTCGAGCATTAAGTTAAAATTTGTGTTAAATATTTTATTGTCTTTATGGCCGCATGAACACCATGCAGCGACACGAGCCAGGGAAATTATGATATTCAAGGCGGGAGCAAAGTCTGTATTTTAGGCACGTGAAAGAAACGTGTAATAGCTTCTCTACCAAACAACTTTGTTTGCAAAGTTTCTTAAAAGTAGCCAACCGCTTTATTTTATTTCCAGGTTTGTTTACAACTCCAGCTCTTTAAATTTAAAAATTTCGGCGATTAGAAATCGGCAAGTATTTGCACAAGTTGTGACAGCTGTTGGAGTACAGGTAGAATCGACTTCAGCCGACATATGGCATCTCAACACCCTCAATCCATGAGCTTCTCACTGGACATCCGTGAAGCATTGATTCGTAAATGATAAATAAAATTGTCTGAAGCCAGCACAAAACAGGACGAGCCAGCATGAGGGCTATCCATTTAGGCCGGGCCTATTAACGGGCTGAGTGAATTATGATTACGGTTCGCATGCATGGGCCTGTGGATGTTGCCTCCGAATTTGCAGATTTATTGCAGCTAAAAATCAACGCTAATATAATGCATAAATCAGAGTGCTTAAGTCAACATATAAGGTGTATGGCAGTGCACTGAAGGAGGTCCCTCGCAGGATTGGCCGGAGTTGCCTGTAAACCAAGTGAAATTCAGCGAAAACGAAACATTTTAGCAAGTTGCTGGCCGGCGGAGGGTGGATAGTGGGTGGTCCCGGAGTGGGTGGTTCCGGAGAGAGACCAGCGTATTGAGGGCGTCTCTCTATATTGCTCTTTAGTTTTTCTACAAATCGAAACTCTTTCTCAGACCGGCGCAGGCGCCGTGTCCTTTTCACCTTCCAGTGGCGGAGTTTTTCTCTCGCGGTCTGCAAAGGGAAATATTCGGGACTCGAGCACGGCGAATCTGGGGTTTCCCTCTCGCAACGGCAGATGTTGGCTAATTAAAGTATTACACAGCGTAGGTCAGGCCCGCGAGAACCGTGAGAGCTGTGTGCTGTGTGACTGGCCGAGGAGTGACGATGCAAATGGTCCGTCCCATCGCACACTTGAATGCAGGTAGAGCCCGGGGACGACCTCAGATGGTGGACCACCGCATTCTCGAGCATAATTAAAAAGCAATTTAGGCGAAGTTATCCAATTATCTGGCCCGTCGAAGGGGTTACGGTCCCACAGCTACTCAAACAGAAATGTTTCGGGTGTTTAGCACCTAACACATTTCCACATGGCTTCAGCTTTGGCTTTCAGCGGGCTGCGCAGGCGCTTTCCGCTTTTTCTGAACGCCAAACGAGTTGGGAGTTTACGGAGAAACTGGTTTTTGGGTCACAGCGAAGGGCCCGACAGTCGAGAACAGGTAAACTCGAGATAATTATTCAATGAAGCCGAGGGCTCACCTTTCCACTCCCCTGACTTCTCGGCTTGAAGGGGTCCAGCTCAAAGAGCTGGCCAGCATCAGAGGGTCAAAGTATAAGAGACCGAGCTGCGCACACGCTCTCCCCGTCTCCTTCTCTCTCTCTCTCCCTCTCTCTGTCTCACTCTCTCGATGTCTGCTGCGAGTGGTGTCTCTTCCGAGTGGCAAGTCGCGAACTCCTGACGCAGTTCTCAGTTTTCAGTTGTTGTTCTGGCACGGCGTACGTGAACGCGGACGAACCCGTATCTTTGAAGCAGTCTGAAAATCTCACTTCATCGCAGCGCTTAGTGGCTGTAAGTGCTGTCTCGCTCTCGCCAATGTGTGTGTGTGCGTTTGTGTGTGCCTAGGAAAATTGTACAAAATATAGATACGGAAAGCTGATGGAAATTGCCAGCGAAAAACGAAAAATAAGAATCGGGCGGCAATCAAGCGAAACGTCAAGTTACCACCGGAAAAGGGGTGGTGATGGTGGGAAAGCGCTCTCCCATTTGTGCGTGTGTGTAAAAGTGAAAATTCGCTCGCGTTTTTGGCACTTTTCACGCTCCTTGGCCAATTCGGAAAACAGGACCACACCCGCGCGGGTGCAAAAGTTAAAAATGGGGAAAAAATCATGCAGCCGTTGCCTCACAAAAGCCAACGAAAAACAGCGCTGCAAGAAAAATTCCAGTTTCCCAAAGGATCGCAAAGAGAGGCAGTTATAAGAGAGAATATAAAAGTAGTATTGGCCGAAAAGGTGGAAATTGTCGAGGAGGGGAGAGTGGACACAGGGCCACTAAAGTTGCGCAAGTGAGCAGTTCCCGTTATTGGGGACTTTTAGCCACCAGCATCAGCTGTTTTCTTAAAGAATCAAAAGATTTTATTTATTCTGAAAAATAAAATTATTATCAAGTTTTAATAAAACACAAAATTACAGCTACCTAAAGAGATTTGAATATTATTTGCAGAAACGGGTTATCACAGTTTCATTAAATACCAGCTCAAGGTGTAAAACGCATTACACATTTGGTAAAGATCCAATTTTTTTTATTGTTCGTTTACAATAAAGTAGGTTTTCGTAGGTATTTTCGACCACCGATAATTGTCGGATAATATTTCGTCAGAAACTAAACCCCGTATTTTCCTGCTCAGCAGTTGTTCCCTGCTGCCTTGGAAAGTTGGTAAATCGTCCCTCTCTCTCAAGCTCTCCATTTTAGTTTTTTGGCTCTGTGCAGCCGCGAATTTTCAGCGAGCTATTCGACAGACTCGTCAGTTGGAGTTTTCAAAAAAACGCAATTGGTCTGGCGGCGACCCACAGCTGTGAAGTATAGATTTGCCGTTTGACTTTCCCCCTACAACGAAAAACAATAGAGAAATGATAATAAAGCATTGTGAAGTGCCAATTATATAATGTACGCAAAGAAGGAAAGGCGTGACCCCCCTTCTACCCATCGAATGAGTCACGTGTCAGTGTGTGTGAGTGTACCAGTGAAATTACAAAATCCGAAGGACCTGCTTTTGTTGGCCAGACGCGACAATTGCCACATTAAGAGCGAAATACCCACCCAATGTTCTTATTTTACTTCGCTTTGATTTTATTTGATGTGCATAAAACCCCCGCCTGTGTGTTCATGTCCCTTGCCCATATCCCTATTTATTTTGCGCCTTTTTCTTATGATTTTGCCCCACTTCAATTTCCTTCAATGAAATAGAAATAATATAAATATCCTTTTGTGCAGCATTCAACGGTTTCAAAGTCCCTCGTCAAACGCGTTCTCCAGTGTATTTGAATACGAAAGTGTCATAAAGTATGCGATTATCCCGTAACCAAAGTGTAAAACGCCCACAACAACAGCTGCTCCGATAAACGCCGAAACGGAAAGGCAAACAAAAAATAACTCCCGGATTTTACGTCTTAGGCAATTGATTTTGCTGGTCAGCCGGGGACCTTCAGAGACTTCAGTTCTCTAGGATTTTCCAGGAGTAGCACAGCATTAAAGAATCGGATCTGGGCTCGTCGTATAATGATTGCGCAAGTGAGGTGAGTCACCAATCAAGGGGTACATCAATATGCCAAATAGTTGAAACTAACTCCTCGGTCAATCTAGAAACAAAATAAAACTACTGCACAACCCCCAGCTGAACCTATCGAGGGAAAAGTCATAACAAATTGCCGAATTTTTGCAATTAAGTTAAAAAAATTTTAGAGATCTGATTTTATGAACTAATCAAGTTCGTTTTGACGAGCTGTACAAGCACCTCAGCGGAGATTTAACACTAAAGTTTCTGGCAGTATACTATTACATTTTAAAAGAATTAATATCAGTATGCGGAAACATTGCTAAAATGTTAAACACTGCATATAGTTTCCCTGGAGTATTATTTATAACTGACCCATGTAACCAAAATGAAATATACCACGTAGGCTAACCGTCGAATCCCTTACATATACCAAAGTCCGCAGGCTAGAAATTAATTAAAATTTATGAAATTTTCAATTACACTGGCAAGTGTAAATAAGTGCGAGTGCGAGCATTACGGGCACAATTCAATTACGAATATTTGAGGCCAGAAAAAACACTCTCGCCCAAAAACAAACAACTAAACTGGGCCAGAAAACAGGAAACAAACGGCAAATGCCGGCGGGAATTGAAGGGATCGGTTTTGGAGGGGGTTGAAGTGCAACTTGTTCGGCTGGGGAAGCTTGATTGGTTTTGTGGCTCTGTCCACATCTTCCTCAGACTTTTAGGCTGGCAACGGAGGACAGATGGTCAGTGCAATTTGAAATAACGAAGCAGCAAACATGTGTAACCGATGACGATAACGAGAAGAAACAAAGACTGCAAAGGGTTATTAGTGGCATCTGTGGAGCGGGGCCAGGAAATTGGCATTCCCATAGACGGATCCCCGATGGCTTGCCAACTGCGTTTTTCGGTTCACTTCACACGCTTGCCAATCAGTTATTCCGAGTTTCCCCTCGGCTTCTCTGCTTATACAATTGGTTAATATTGATAAACAAAGACTGCTTCTCACTCCGAAAAGAAAGGAATACTGAATTTGTGTTTGTCCCTGAGTCTCTGAATCGCCAGCAATCATCTTCGGATCGATTTTTCATTAAGGTGCATGACAGATATTTATATGAACGTGGCTGAGTGGGTGCTTGCGTGACTGCCAACTAAGGTCACATGCAAACCGGGGCGAGACCCTCTCCTAACCTATTCAAACAAGTTAGGCCCCCGCGATGATGATAAGTTCGCTCTCGCACGAATGCAGCCAAAAACTGACGCGCAATAGGTATAAATAAGTGGCCTCCAGTTCGAGATCGGAGCTACATAATTGTGAAGCATCCAAGTCCTGTTGTTGGTACCACAATAGTGCACCTACTTTTAAAAAAAGTTGTGATTCGCGGAACGGAAGCTGTGGTCAGTTTGTTGTCAGTCTGCTTTGAGCTTCTAAGTTCGTTGGAATTTCACTTCTTTGAGCGGCTGATGTCTGAGAACTTTATCAGCGAATTTTTGTGTTTTGGTATACACACTTCCACTCTCTGGATCGGACAACTTCGGAGTTGGCGCCCAAAAAACTGGCGCACATAATGAGACCGAGCGAAACTCGAGCCCAAAACATAAGTCCGAGATGAAGGCGTAGAAGTTTGGATGGACGGGGAGCTTGGGTCTCGAGATCGGCTTACACTGGAGTTGTACATAAGCGCTCTTGGCCATGTACATCATCGGACCCCAGACCTCAGCTCGTATAAGAGAGCGCTGCTCGAACTTGTTTTTCTTTTGCTGCGATAGATACACAGAATTTCCTGCAGCAGCCGTGTGTTCCTGTGCTGACGCGGATGAGAACACAAAGTGCAGTTTGCAGTCGGCGATCTACGGACAGGTAGTCGGGGAAGCCAACGTTCCCACACAGCCCGTTCATTTGGAGTTGGGCGGGACGTCAGTTGGTGGTGGCTTGGTGGCAGCACTTGCAGGGCTTCGCCACTCATCGCACCTCTCGGCACCACTCACCCACATCCTGGTGACGCTTTGTTCTTGGCTCTTGTATTTCTGTTTTTGTTAGGTTTTACACTCCATTGGCAGTGAAGCGTTAAAATTGACCCAGTTGTTGATTTATTTTTACAGCCGTCGGGTTGGGACTTCCACTCGCATTTCTCCTGCAATTGGACGGCACAGCACAAATGATTTAAACAGAAAAAGAGGTAAAACCGAGAAAAATGCGAATTTGCGTTTTCATTTAAATGCATGAAATTCGGATTTCCGAATATTCGAGCAGCGAGCACGATCCGACTCTGTCGAAGCGAATCGCTTTAAGGTCTCAAGCTCCGTGCACGAATGCACTTTGAATTTGCTGGCTAAATTCCGGAGTCGAGATGGCTGAGAGCGACGGTTCCAGCAAGTTTTCAGATAAAGTTGAAAATTGTTTGCATTTTTTCGCTTGCGATTAAAAATAGGTACTGGTGTACCCGAGAGCCACTATACAAAAACTTATACTCTGGCAGAGACAACTTTACCGACCCCCTCTTTGTCTCGTTGTTTCTTCCCTTTTAAGAACTATGCGGGCCGCTTTTTATTCTCTAAGAAGCAGCTAAAAGTTGAAGTGCAAAACCCGAAGAAATTGAAATATTTCCATACTGCGAGCAGTTTGGAGCAACCTAAAGTTCCGCATCTAAATGAAATGTGACGAAACTGGGAAAAAGGCTGGTGGTCAAAGAGGCAGCCCCAAACAAAATGCTTTGCCGCACTCCCCAAGAACTGGGTGTTCATTATTTCGTAGCGACCATTAAAGTAATTTGCCACACTTGTCGCCGGCTATTAGGCCCCATTAAAGCGCAATCAGAATTCCTGTTTCCCTTCACTCATTTGCCCATACTTGAGTATCAATTTGAACAACAAAAAGTTGCCAAAGTTGCCGATGCACGAACCCTTTTTATTAGTTTTGAGATATCGCCGAGCGAACAGCAGGAGGTCCGGCATTTAATAAGGACATTCAGGCCACAGCGGCAAATAGTTCAATGGACTCGTCAAATCGCTTGCTTTAGTATTGGTGTTTTCGCCAGCGAAAACTTTTTTTCGTGTTTGTGCCGGGAATAAGACGCAACTCAGCCTGAAAAATCAATATCCTGCTGAGTTCTTTGTTGGCCAGTTCTGGCGGAAAAATTCCTGAGTATTAAATAAAAAAGTGGTAAACGGTCCCAGCTAAATTCCAGCCTAGGGCTGAGTTTCAAGCACAAAAATAAATTGCAATTATATTTCAATTATAATAAATACAATATAATGAATATATATTTTGTATGTAATAAAACGAGAATTACTGCTTAATCTCATGTCTCGTACTTAGTAGAAAGGAACATCTACATACATCTGGACAGAAAACAGGGGCGGTGGATACATGGCCACTGCCCTGTATTTTACTTATTCAATTTGGACTGTTTGGAGTGCGCTGATATGCCCACTGCAAGACGCCGAGCAGTTCTATTTGCTGTTCGACGACGTGCTCCATGGCGTATACGTAATCGCGTCTGCTGCCACCCACTGCGATTGCCACTTTAAAGCATGGAAATTTATTTATTGCATAATGGGAAAAGTTTTGCACTTTCTTCATGATTCGCCCCTTGTCTTCCTGTTCATCTCCATCTTGTGCTATTCAACTCGCAGCATTTTATTTGATGCAGCGACCAAAAGACGTGCGTAAACAGGGTGGCCAGGATCCTGTTCCTTACAAATGTCGGTCGTCGGGTGCTAAACTTTTTCCCCCGAATCTCGTTGCCTTTTTTCCCAACTCGAAATCAACTTTGCGCCGAGGCGCACAAAGTTTATGGTCATGCTGGAAAAAAGAAGGAAAGTTGGGAGTTTCGCGGGGTGGCCGTTCATTAGCGTTGCCATTACATTTATTTATTTTTCTTCATTCCGTTCTGTTTCGCAGTGAGCAGGATGTTTTTTATACAGGCAACTCACTTCACTGCATAGTGCGTCCGAAAAGTCTGAGCAGAAGCTGACTAAAGTAGTCTTCAGTTAGTGTGAGAGCTTAAGTTTTGAGAAAGTTAAACAAGTTTAATGAGACACACGAGCTTCACACAATAGTGAAGTGGTTCCATCTAGGACAGTAATCAGGACGTGGAAGCTCAAAAATTGTGTTGCACGCATGCCAGGAGTATTAGACCTCTGCCTCTCCAGTAGCTGCTGCTGTTATGAACGCGGTAGAAAGTTTTTTGAAGCACTTTTCAGGATTTATGAGAAAGGAAATGAATACAACGCGAAAAGCAGACCTTACAAAGATGGAAAAGTTTGTTAAATTTCCACTTCCGCCTGCGCCCTCAGTTTCCTTGTCCATTCTTCGTTCTCCGATTGCATAAATAATAACACAAACTTTTATTATTAATTTTGCTTAATCGAAATGCCGCAATTAAGCATGAAGCATAAAAGTTTCCCTTCTTTGTCCTCCGCCCTCCCTCCTTTTGCTCCAACGCCCAGTTGAACTCATGCCCTCTTTTAGTTTGCGGAATAATTTTGCACTCTTTCTCTGCCGAGTATTTTCTAAGAAAAAGTTGGTCGGCGCTGCAGCGGCGGCGTTTTCTTTGCCACAAAAACAGAGCGCAAAGTTTTCTGCACTTTCCAAAATATTATTAAGAATTTAATTGCTTCAAAGCGCAAAGTTTCGCCCCGCCCATCCAGGATAATTTCAGAAAATTGTAAAACGAATAAGCAAGAAAAAGCAATCCTTGCTATTTAATCGTCGACACATTTTGCATGGTCACCGCTTTGAAAAAGGACAATGGCCAGTAAAAAAGCGCCAAGAGTCAACTAAAACAATCCATTACGGCCACAAAGGCAGCCGAGTGAAAATTTGTTGCGTAATGGGGCCCAGATAAGAAAGTGAAAACTAAATGAGAAGCATAAATAAATTGAGAAATGTTTAAACGATCTCCCGAGCCAATTCTCGTCTCATTTCCGCCCGTTTTCATCGCACACGTCTGCCGGAGTCGGGCGAAATTAAATTTCAAAGGCCCGGGACCATTAGGTGGCCCATTACTGGCCTCCCGCTTTGTCCGAGTCCTGTCTGTCCTGACCAGGCCAAGCCAGCCCAGTCAGGAACCCGCCCCTTTGGGGCTGGACAGGAACCCGCAAACATCCTGTTGATGTCAGCAAATTTTATTTATTTGTGGTTCGTGTTGTATTACAGCGTTTTAGAGCAATTAAAATTGTACACTGGCTGGGGCATTTTGCATGGCCCTCCGAACCGAGCTCCCGAAATTCGGCCACAGTCTATTTGACCACATTTTTTAGATCATTTAGCGACCTAAGTGCCTAATGATATATTGACTTTTCCTCTGTTTCAACTTTTATGCTCAAAGAACCGAGCCGTATTTTTCGTATAATTGCCCGCGGCGGAAGGTAAAACTTATTAGATTAAGTGATAGCAGTTCGTTTTATTGCTCTTTATGGCCGCGGAACATGGCTCAGAATTAGCTGGCTCCTAAGAGTAGGATGCTGTTCCAGAAATGGGGAGTAGTTTAATGGTTCTCCCACTCATGCAGCGGTCATTTCTTTGCTCCAAATGGCCTGGGACTGAGAATGCAAAGCTGCTCAGGAACTCCAACTGGTTCCATTGTTCTGCCGTTGGCCTACTTGGCAGACCCTTTCCGGGTATTTCGCTTGGCTAACAAGCTTACGAACGGATGGCCTACGGGCGCACTCCCTGAATGTTAGCCAACCTAGAATATTGACTAAAGGGGCCGTTTCATTTCATTAATGTTTCAAGGCGCACTGCGTGGCCTGAAAAGCCTACGAAGCCTTTTCGGCGAGTACGACGACCAGATATCCCCAACACCTTTTGGATTTGGAAAATCTAAAAGATTTTTAGAATCCTCTGATTGTAAATATAATTGTAAGAAGAATACAAGTGTATTTATTTTTGTTTTCTGGTGGCACCTGTTTCAAGAAATTAGGGATTAACTTAATATGTTTTACGTGTGCAAATTCAAGTCAAGGAACGCCCCAGCTAGAAATAAAGTAGAGAAATATAAATCTACACATAGAATGGCCCTGACTTGATTTTACTTGGCCTGCTTCTTGCGATTTTCACCGCTCAGTGTGCATAAGTACTGATTTTTGTTTTTTGCCAGAGAGCACACGTCCAAGATACATACACAACACTCGAGCGAAAACAAAAACTCGAGGGCCTGTCGAAACGTCTTGGGGTGTGGCAGCGACAAGTTTGTAAGGAGTCCGGAGTCCTGGGTCCTTTATTGGAGTGCAATGAGCTGTACTCTGGGCCGACTTGTGCCCAAGTTGTTGCGCACAACATGCTTAATTAGTTTCTGAAGCCGAAAGGAGCCTGCGGTCTGGGGGTTAGAGGTCAAGAGCCAGTCCTGGCCATGTGTGGGCAAACTGAAAATAATTTGCGGCTTCCAGTTTCGGTTGGGCCGAGAGGGTTTTTAATTAAAAATGCTCGGTACCCGCCCACCTTCCCCTCCCCCGTCAGCAATCCCCAGCACATCATGCAAATGAGCTCCAAGTAGCCGCCGACCGTGGACGAAGATCCGCATCCGAGATACGACGTCTGTGCCACGCCGAAATCCTGCTTCCTGTGCCGTGTGTGCAGCCAACCAAAAAGCACCACCCAACGGCGGCGGAATTGGAAGTGGATGTGGGTACCACGGGTCGAAAATAAAATGGCCGCCGTGCGGGGCAGCTTCCAGTGAGTCGTACACTGAGCGCATAAGTGTTCCGTACTGGCTAGATGTTAAAAACTTTATTTGCGATACACTTAAGCTGGAGGAGTTGATCTTTTTTCAGTTAATTAATTTCGAGAAGTTTTGTGTGTACTTAACTCCAGTCGCAGGTGAGATTTCAAATGACATCGCGTTGTTTTTTAAGTGTATGAAAATGTGCATCGCGGGCCATGACGAATGCTGTGACAGGGGGTGCAGGGGGTCAGCCCAGCACACACAATTTAATGACAACGACGTGGCCGAAAATTCAGTTATGGCTCTCATGGCACACACAAAAACAAGAATAGGCGATGGGGATTGTCGGACGAACCAATCAACTGATTTAGTGCAGAGGCTGTCCTCCTGTCCCCCCTTTCTGCTCTGGCCGGAGTATCGGGAAATGCAATTCGTTTGCTGATTTGTCATTGTTTGGTGTGCCTGCTGTCCCCACAGCTCAACTTGAGCTGATTTACAAATGAAATCATACGCCATGGCGGGCATTTCGGTAATGAAAATTCAGCCATAAGGGAAATCATTTTTCCGGCTTTTGTTCTATTGGGGCTGGGCCGTGTGCCCGTGCATCCTTTTGGCCAGGATGAGCAGCCCCGCACACTTAATGCGATTTTTGCTGCTTGCTTGTTGCCCCTGCCTGCTGGATGGTCTGGATGGCTTTTAGTTTCGGTGTGGTTGAGCAGGAGGATATGGTGTGGGGTCCACAGGACGAGGCTAGTAACGCTGAGGGATTTCAGTGCGCTCCATAAATAAATTTCGTTTTAATAAACTTGTCATAATGGCACAGGCACAGGCAGCGCAAAAAGTTTTAATAACGCTCCACAAACCTTGACGTTATTAAAATTTTACATGTCATGCCAGAAAGGATTAAATTCAATGCACAAGGAACCTCTGTGCGTGTGTGTGTGCTGTTTTCAGTTCTCACCGGATGTAATAAGTTATGCATTAAAATGGCACTAATGACGTTTATACAGCTTTGTCAGCAACGAAACTTTCCACACACACACATCCTGAGGGAGGCCCTGCTCGAGTTACTTAATTGCAGTGAAAAAATTGAATAAGGGAAAATGAAGGCCTCGTCGTGCTCACTGTCGCCTTGCTCTTTCCCTCTGGAAGGGAAAATCGCTACAAAAATGCTTTGCCTGCAATTTAAAATACGCACTCAGTGGTGGAGGGGAGGCTGTGGCTTTTGTGCGGGGGAGTTCCACGGCAGCTGCCTATGTTTACGTGGCCATGTAATGACAGAAAATCCAGGAAGACAGGATTGGAGTTTCTCTTTGTACAAATTAAGCAAATTCCGCTTAAGGCATTCCGAATAATTTAATTAAAAACACATTTCTGGCTTTGTTCTCGACGGAGAAAGACGAATTATTCCCCTCCACTCGCCCGCAATCCAGTGCATACTTGTGGGCTAGTCATAAAATACGCTTGGATACCAATTCAATTAACTGCAGCCGTCCCCAAAACTGCTCCCTGATCACGATCCTGAGATAAGGTGCGGGCGGAAAACTATCAAACAATGGCGTAGAAGTGGCGTACCCCTGACACCCTCTTCTTGCTTCGACATCCAACACGAGTTTTACATTAAAACGCAAAGTTTTATTGCCGAAGAGCGCAGGCGGAGAAAAAGTTTGCTCTATTTGTATAGGAGCCTTGTAAGTTTCTGGGCCGCTCTTTTCGCACCCCCATCTCAATTTGCTAAGTGGTGTCCTTATCAGTTGTATCTACAACATATTAGCTGCTTAATTTCACGAACGTGTGTGTGCGAGTGTGCACCTGTGTGTGCGCCCAAGGAGTGTTGAGATGGAAAACTTTTGTTTATTAATTTGTCAACGGCGCTGTTTCAGAAGTCCGAGATTGTGTGTCGTCGATAAGGCTTACCTGACTACCGAACATCTATTATCTATGTTTATTGTGGGTTTCGGGCCACTGGGCTTTCGAGCCAATTCAAAATTTGTGGACAATTTAGTATCAAATCTAACCTCGAATTGGTCCAGTTTTTCCCATCAAATGACTTAAAGAAAAGTGCATTTTCGAATATGTGTTTTCATAATAAGTATTATTGAGGGTGCATTCTGGGATCTGGGTTGATCCAGCAGAGATTCTTGAAACCGCTGGTGAGTGTGGTCGCTCGTTCGGAAGGATCTCAGTTGGCACTTGACGTCTGACACTGACGGCTGAGATGGATGACGGCTGGGGGATGTGACAGCTTCATCAAGTGCAGCCAGGTGCGACTGCAAGGCGCCCATTGATGCCAACACTTACCGCAATTCCCTCGCAAATATGCAATTCCTTTGACAGCCCTTTTTCGCTCTCTTTTCCAGATGACGCCACTGCCGATGAGAACGATACGTTAGGGGGCGTTGAACTATGGGAACAGAGGCATGGGCGTGTGCGCGGACCTTGGGTCTCATCGATGGTGTCGGGCTCTGAGCCGGCACAACACCCAGAAATCGGTGGAGCAGCAGCCCCTGCAACTCCCCAGCAACGTCACCGTGCATCCTTCCGGCGGTCCAGGACCAACAGCTATTGACGCGACAACCACGATTCCCGCTTTTAAAACGCTGTTAGCATCGCCAGCGAAAACGGCAGCATTCACAGTGAAGACAACGAGAAGAAGACGCCGACGAAGGGCAGGCAGCTCACCCGGCGCTCCCATCTGCAGCCACGGGACTTTGCAGGTGCTCCAGTTAGCGTTGGTCTCCTTTCTGGCCCTTCTAGCGAAAAATGCCCAGGCGCACAACATTCCAGGTGAGTGCAATAATTAAATTTTAAATGTTCATTTGAACAAGCTGGCCATTTTTCCGCTCGCGAATCAGCTAAAAGTATCCGCTGACTGCAGGTGAACAGTCAAAGGAGAGAATCAAACTTAGTTTTTTGGTGCGCATGTGTGCGACCTGATTTTTATTCGGCGCTCGGGAAAATTTAATGGCTCACAATAAGCCGCTTACGTGCGGCCAAAGCTGATTACATTTGGCAATTAGTTGACAGTTGGGCACAGCTCGGGCAAATAGCACCCACCAGTAACTAATAAAAAGAAAAGAGAGAGTTGGGCTGAACTTAGGCTTTGTTTATTAACTACTCTGCACAAAATGCTAATTTTCGAAATATTTTTTCAGAAAAGTGAATTAAAAACATTGAACCCCTGTCCATGTCAGATTTTTCCAAGTTTTCGATAATGTTTCTTTGGGTTGCCCTCTACAGCACTTCCAGATCCCATAACTTGGCCAATTTTAATGCGAGTCCAAAGTGGCATACCTCTAAACGTTTTTAGAGAATTCTTGAAGGAACCGCATTAAAAATTTTCCACTCTGAGATAATTGACATTTTGTCCCCCGTTCATGTCAGATTTTTCCAAGTTTTCGATAATGTTCCTCTGGGTGGCCCTCTACAGCACTTCCAGATACCATAACTTAATTCATTTTTTTGGGTTTTAAAGTGTAATACTTCTTAACGTTGGTAATTTAATTCTTAATATAAGCGAGATGAGTTTTCTTCATATATTATCCACAGCTTCTTAAGCCTGGTTGAAGGGTCAACGCCAAATTGTGATGATACCGGGGAGTGGTCCGAAAGCTAGATAGTAAATGCCGAAATAAGTTCGACAACTCAACTTGGAGAAATCAATAAAATACATTGCGCTTTGCTGAATAACTGAACCCGACACTCAAGTCAAGTACTAGGTGGGTGGTTTATTAGGTAGGAGAGAGGTGGGCCTCTGCTTTGGCTGAAGGACACACTAAATGGAATAATGAAACCACTTTTGCATGTTAACGCCATCGAAAGGCGCGCCAGGAGAGAAGCACACGCGGGGGCTTTGACATCCTGGCTCCCTGGCTTCCTGACTTCCTGCTAGCCTCGAGTACTTCACTTGGCTCATGGCGACAAGTCTGCAACATTATGAAAGGGCAATAGACGAACAAGTGCCTTGAGCTTGTACACGGGGAGAAATTTAAACAGTTCTTGAATTGGAGCTTTAATGGACAAGCCATGGCCACTGTTGTTGTAGCTCAAGGAAATCCAAAAGTTTAACTTCTTTGCTAGAATTATTGGCACTGATTCCTCTCTACTCCATTAGCGTTGCATGCTCTTTTATTTCAGTGCATGCTTCTCAGCATAATCACCACCCGCTACCCCAACAAAGTCGTTGTCGACATTGTTTTGGTGTTGTTTTCTCTATTTTTCGGAGGCAGTCAGCGGAGGCTGAGAAGGGATGTAAATAGTCTGCCGAAGCTGGGCCAAGTTAACATAAATTTATGCAAATGCCAAAGTCAACAAGCGAAGAGTGCATAAAGCGAGCAGGCAAGTGAGTGTGTACTGAGTAGACGAGTGAGTGAGTGAATGACTGATTGAGTGCCTTCTGTGGAGAGCGGTTAACAAAGACGTCATGTAGCTGGGGCCGCAGTCCTTGTCAGGATTTTTTCGTTCCCTTCGCCATCCCTTTCCATCCAATCCAAGAACTGCTGGGGAATTAATGCAAAACGCATTAAGTTGATTTTTTGCCAGACTACGTCCCAATCAGGAGCAGCTCCTCCGCCTACCCCAAGAATTGCCTAAGGACATTGGTAGTTTGCTTAACCCTATTACCGACACAGATACAGTCGGATCAGGGCAGAGATACATTTGCAGATGCAATGGCTCTTACTTGCCGATGGCCAGACCTCACAACTGCAGGCAGGTCAGAAGTTGTTTGTTAACAAGTTTAGGGTCGTCCTGCCAGGGCCGGAGTCCCATTCTGATTCGGGCTCTCCCCAGCGGCTGCACTACCAACGCCATCTTCAATTGGGGTCCTGCAGCATCCTCCCGGCCCTCACATGTGTGTAACAGGATATGCTCCCTTATTTGATGTTGTTGTCCTGCTGTTTCCGACAATTCATTTGCATTTCCGTTGCCGCTTGCCGAGCTAGCCTTGAGCTCCGCTCCAATTGTGAACGAAATTTTCAGCTCGGCTGACCATGTCAACGGCTTAGAGAAGCTCCCCGCCGGGGTGGGGAGTGGAGTGGGTGCGCGCTGAGTGGGGGCATACATAAACGATGCCCGGCACATTCGCACCTCGGCTGGCACTCAGAAGAGAGGCGCCCGTCAAAGCCAGCAACAAGGAGGCCAATCAGCGCCTGTCAAGTGCCCACCGCAGTCCACCTGCCCGCCTGCTCAGCCACGAGCGCTAATGAAATGTCACGACTCGTTGTCAAGGCGGGTCGTTCTGGTGAAGAGAGGAAAGCAAGTTTTGGCCAGCCAGACAGGTCCTCCTGATTTCTCACTCTGCGTGCGAGGGGGTCGGCCAATAACTTTTATTTGAGCGGTCAGCCCACATGCACAGAGCAAAAACATTCAAGCCGGAAGGGTAGCGATGAAATGCTGATCCTCGTACTGCCAAACTTACAACGTCTGTAAACCGTGACGTATACCCCTTTCGAATTCTGTGTTCCTTTCCCTCTAACTCAACTTGACTACGACCATTTTTCTCAGTGGCTTCTGAGTGCATTCCACTGCAAGCGCTGGACATAGTTCCACACACACACCACATATACTCGCCCGCTTTCAATGGGATAAATGATTTCAAATCCAAAATGGAATAGCTGACCCGGCTCAGCTACTGGTCCCTCGAGGGGATGGCAGGGCAAAAACATCAGTCAATGACCAGCACTTGACATGTGACCGACATAGCCATCAACAAATCCATTTAAAAGTAACCCCGGCATGGCGGTTTTGCCGTTCTCTGCGCCATCAAGACCTGTCAGCGGAAGGGAATGGGCTGGCCGACACAGGACATTTGTCGGGCCACGTAAATCGTGCTGAATGTCACGTCTAAATAGAACGCAATAACGAGGACGGGACTGCGGCTCCGGAATTGCCCGTATTATGGGCCCATCACGTTGGGGAATCCTTGCGGAGACCACTCCCGGTCGCCGATCCGAACACTTGTGTGTCTAGTTACATATCTGATTGCTCTTGCCTTTCTTTTCTTTGCAGAAGACGCCGTGCACATCACGGCCATTCTCGGCGAGGGCGTCATCTTCAACTGCCACGTGGAGTTCCCCAACGACCACCCCGTGCCATATGTCCTGCAGTGGGACAAGAAGGTGAGCGAAACGGTACGATATCACAGTTAACATTTCTTCTCTAAACTCTCTTTTTTACATTGTTGTTCCGATACGCAAAAACAAAGCAAGAAAAAGTAAGAAACAGTCAGTCAGAACAGACAGACCACGCAGAAAACGAAAAGAACTCCTGCTAAACTCCGTACTCCTGTTCAGTGTCTTCTCAACTATACGTTCAATGCCATCCAATATCTTATGAGCCCTGTCCCCCCATACAAGCCCGATCGTTACTCAGCCTGGTTTTGCTAATTTGTAATTCTTTTTTGTTCCCCGAGTTCGAAGCGCTGTAATAACCAAACTAAGCAAGTTGATCCGATAACCGAACTAACCGAAGTAACCGAACTATTGCCAATGCTCGTGATGTTTGTTGATGTCCATGCGATACAGATTTCTATACTCTTAGCTTGAGATTGATCGTACTTGTGTATGTGTTTATGTGTTTCCATATTGGTACTTTAAACTTGATTTTGCTCAGTTCGGTTTCAGTTTGCCTTGGTTCTCATTGCCATCAACCCCTACCCTCCGGCCTGAAATCGGGGGCTCCCCCGCCCTGTCCCGCCCTTTTCACCAGCTAACACACCTTAAACCATAAACCATAGGCAGGCTTTGGCTTTCCAGCGGCTGCTCCTGATCAGCTTTGAGATCGGATTCCTTGCGCCTTCTTCAGTTCGATCACAAGACACGCACACAAACACTCCAGAATACTTCAACACTTTAATGAAATTATTTTTGCGGCATTCGAGAATGCAAATGATTAAATTAATCAAATTATTTGTCAATTGAAGGAACGGGCTTCACAGCACCCGGATCAAAGAGAGCGAAAGAGAAGAAAGCAGAACAAAATTCACATTCCACCGAAATCAAAAGAAACAGAAATTCCATTTGCAAATCAAATCAAATCAATCGAAATTCGTTCGCAATCAGAGCATATACAAAAATCTAGCTTAGCTGCTCACTGCAAACAAACTGAAACAATTTCCACTCCTGTTATTCCTCAACCATGCAAATCCCAAACAATTAGCCACAACCATTCAAAGCCGAGCAATATCGAAAACAAATTAGTCACATTGCCAAGACTTTAGTTGCAAGTGTTCAAAACTCTTTCATACCTCCTGCACCGCCCAATCCACCTAAACACTCAACCTCTCAACCACTCAACCAACCACCCAGCACAGTGGCAGTCGAAGTTTGCAGAAAATATGCTAATGTTTGGAAAATTTGAGCCGCAGATAAACAGGGCAAAGATTTGCTCGAAATTCTGTGAGGATAACTGCGCAAACTTTTCAGCATGGTAGCGATGCATATTTCTGGCATTTTCAACAGCCACTGCACATTCTCGTAGGGAAAGCAAATTTCATTTCAATCAGTACGCAATGGCCCAATGAAACACCTTTCATATCAAGAGCACCGACACCGAGTCACATCTTTTTCCATTCATCTTTTCTTTTGACGTTTTGTAATGTAATCCAATTATTTTCCCAGCCTTCTGCATGCTTAGTATGTAGTGTGTAGCAAACTAGTTTACTTACCCTGTTCAGCAGCAAAGTTTGATGAAGCCAACTAACATGGGCAACCTCTGCACCGCGACTTCAACTAAGCCCCGACCTCAAACAGCTTACTTTCCATAATTTCAAGAACGCCTAAGCCAACTTGAACGGCTACCAACTTTCCTTGGGGCTTCGGCTGCAGCTTGATAACGAAACAGCAAAAACTAGAAAAACCGCAAGGATAATAAACTGTAAATGTCAGGATACGAAGGGGCGAATCGTGGGCGTCAAAGTCACGATTGTCCTTCGCCTGGCGAAAAACAGTCAAAGTTGTGAGAGTATGTGTTGTGCTGGCCAGATAACGTCTCCTGCTTTTTGTGCCAACTTAAAAGTTTTACAAGCAATTTTAATGCCAAGCAAAGTTATAAGTACTACAAAAAGAATGTTTATGTTTTGTCGCGATAAAAATTCCCACACGTTGTGGAAAAGCGCAGGCGAGCCGTACCGACGACCGAATTAAAGTGATTAACATGGCTTTAGGTTTTAATTTGTGCGCTCGTTCCGCCCTCAGACGTATCTCTCCCGACTTCCGTATAATTACAAGTACTTTCCATAGAAACGAAGCAGTGCCGTTTTGTCAGTCAGTTCTATTAAAGGCCTCCCACTTGTCAGGCTCCTTATTAAAGACAAGCCCGTGCTGAAATGGAAGGCATGAGAGGCGGGCGTTGCCTAGCTGCAATCTAAATTAATTGCTACTTAATAAATTAGGCGGAAAAATGTTTGCCGAGCCAACTTATGTCGCTTCTGCGATTGCGAATATTAATTTTAGCCCGGTAAGAACCACCCATCTGTGTCCCGGAATGCCAGCTTTTTTCGTCCTTGTGCGCTTCCATCGCAAGTTATTTCATACGTTAGCCGAGGAAATTATTAAAACGTCTATATGCTTTAATACGGCCCCCAGAGCCCATCTTCCATCTCTCGTCTAATTAGAGAAATAAATCGATTAACTCGGCCTGGGATAACATGGCGAGCAGGCAATTTTCTTGCCAATTATTTACGTACTCGCAAACATCACGCTATCTAGGGCTCCTGATGTAGAGAAAGGACAAAATCTGTGGTCCCCAAGTTTGGGATCGAATGCACTCGGTTCGATGCATTCGGTAAGGTCCTGTGAACAAAATGTGAATAAACAAATGCCAAGTTGCGCAAGCAAGGATGAAAAGCAGGAGGATTGGGGCCGAGTGCAGGTTAACCCCAATTTCTGTTGCCCGCCTCGAAATATATTTTACATGCACATTTTTTATCTGCACAAGCTAGAATTTCAAATGTATCTCTTTGGCCCTCGTTGTTTTAGTTTCTGCCGCACACACACACTGAGTCAGATGATTTATTGTTGCCAGCGTGTCCCTGGCACACTACAAAAATACTATATGTGAGAGGGTGCGCGGGTGTCCTGCCTCCCCATTCGCCCTTCCGCTCTTCCGCCTCTCCTCCGGCTGTTGATGAGCGTACAACGAGGTGGAGCGGGTGGAGTGGGTGGAGCGGGTGGAACGGGGGAGGAGGTCCAAGTGGTGAGCCCAGGATCTGTGGAGTTCGTGTTGACAGTGAAAATGTGTGACCATGTCTGTACATATAGTTTGTGTATCTGCGAGAGCGCTTGTTTGTTTGCTGGCATGTTTACCATGCGGCAGCGCAATTTCTCCACGTTAACGTGATGAGTTTTTGTTTTGACTGTTTGTAGATTTTACTTTCGCAGACAGAACGCAGTTATGTTCCCCGTAGCTATGTCGCAACTCAATTTATTTGCGACAGTTGTTGGTTGCTTGCGTCTCCTCAGCGGGAAGCTTTTGAGAGTTTCCGATTAGCGTAATCGCCTGCCTTTTCACCAACTGCACCTGCATGCCACCTAGATGCCGCCTAGATTTAAGTGTTCGAATGTAGATTGCCTGATCCTAGCGAGTAAGCCACTGCCACAGTATCAGTATTGTATATATCCCCGAGCCCGCGACTCATAATCCGAATCATAACACTAGGTTAATACTGTCTGTACCTGTACCTGTAAATGTGCCTGTTCTAAGACGAAGCGTACCAAGCAGGCTCTCGTTTGTCGTATGTACAAATGTCATGGCACACTCCATGCATATACCGCATCCAGACAGACCGATCAAGATCCCACTCCGATCCCTGGCCACTGAACCACCGACTAATGTGCGCATCTATCCTCCTTCCTCCTCCAAGGGCTCCGACCTGCCCATCTACATCTGGTATGAGAGCTACCCAGAGCACATCGAGGAGGGCTACAAGGGGCGCGTGTCGCGCGTCTCGCAGGACTCGCCCTTCGGCTCCGCCTCGCTCAACCTGACCAACATCCGGGAGTCGGACCAGGGCTGGTACGAGTGCAAGGTCGTCTTCCTCAACCGGGACCCCAAGCAGCACAAGAACGGTACATGGTTCCACTTAGACGTTCATGCACCGCCGCGCTTTAGTGTTACGCCAGAGGATATTATATACGTTAATTTAGGTGAGTACTGGGTCGGGTCCAGCAGCCAGCAGCAGCCTCGCTCTGATAAATAGCCGGGTCATAAATACCCGCTCATATTCGGCTGGCCAACTTATTTGGCCGTCTGTCAGCGGGCCTTTGCGAGGCAGCGCCCTCTCGCAGGTTACGTGGAGAGAGACCCCAGTTCGCATTTGGCCCACTTTCGAGTGTGTCAAATGGGCGGCCATTTGTTGCAGCGCTCGGATGAGTTTGTCACCTTGGAACTGGGAACTTGGAACTCTAATTCCCAGGAGTCCCAGGCCCCCAACGAGTTATGGCCGCCCATTTGTCATCTTCCGCTCAAAAGTGGAATACATTGCCCGGGTCTTACGAAAATCGATAAGCTCATCATGCTCACAAACGTATCAAATCAAATTTCCGTCGCTTAATCAAAGTTAAAATGCTTACGAGACCCACTGGCAGCGAAACAAAAGGCGTTGCCGGAAATGCGTTGGGCTAAAACAGCGCTGCAGCGTATAAATCAGAGGAGCACAGCGGCCGGAGGAGAACAACGGGGCCAGTGAGGCGCATGGAAGGGAAGTGCAACAAAGCGGAGGCTCCATTGTCTGCCGCAAATGGTGAAAGGACGAAGACAAAGGCAGACCGAGCCTAGCACACAGGGGGCGGGAGGCGGTTGGCGAAACCCCCTGGAAACCGAAAAGCGCAACAATTGCCACCACTTACCTTATTAATTCCTCGCTCTCGTTTCGTTTCGTTTCGTTCTGTCGCCGCATTTCCTTGCAGGTGATTCTATTATACTCAATTGCCAGGCCGACGGCACTCCCACGCCGGAAATACTCTGGTACAAGGATGCCAATCCCGTCGACCCCTCGCCCACGGTGGGCATCTTCAACGACGGCACCGAGCTGCGGATCTCCACCATTCGGCACGAGGACATCGGAGAGTACACTTGCATTGCACGCAATGGTGAGGGACAAGTCTCCCATACGGCCCGTGTTATAATCGCGGGCGGCGCTGTAATCATGGTAAAAACCTAAATAAAACTCACTTATTTTGCGATATAGTACACAAACCAAAGGGGGAAGCCTGGGAAGTCCTGGTACTCGGGTGGGGTGAAGTGTTGGCCTCGGCGCCCGGGGTTCGCGCAGGTTACTAATACGTAGTTTTGTTCTCTACCCCTCCCCCCACCCATCCCCAACCAATCCCCTACAATCGTAGGATAAGGCGGCGCCCGACAAACACACTCGCACCAAATCCAAGTCGAATGCCGTGAATGAGAGACTGACCATACGCGTAAGTCCCTTCGAAAATCGCTCCATGCATTCTGCATACGGCATCCTGCATTCCGCATACAGCATATTCTGTTCAACGCTTCCCCATTAACTAAACCGAAGGCCGGCTACCGACCCCATTCACGGCCCCTTAATCACTCCAAACGCCCTTTGGGCTGCAGATTTGGAGAGCAGCCGGCAAGCGGCTACAGAAATCACCAGACCAAACCATGTCCAGATACCGATTCCGAGGGCGAGAGGGCGCGAATCCCCATGGGTGGGCTCAAAAAAGAGTGTAGCAGGAGCTAAACTTTTTGCGCCTCCAGCCGGCCGTGTTCTCAGGGCTGACCCAAGCACAGGAGCTGAGTAGAACCGAACAGAACGGAACTGAGCAACCCGCAGCAGGAGCACGGCGCTCGCTACACTTGACATGGTCATTCGCCTGGTCTCGGGCAGATCCCTCTATTTACAACCCGCATACAAGCATGCTCTCATGTCCGCAAACCACCCTCCCCGCCCACCTTCCGCCGGTCCTGGGAGTCCTCGTGCATGTGTGGGTGCCAACATGGCCGTCGTCGTCGTCCGCCCGCTGTGTGTAGCATACTTTTGTGCGCCCGCTAATGCATTTGCATTTCGGTTATTTACAGCTAGCTGCAGCTGCGGCAGAAGGAATCAGGGTAGGATAATCCGGCACAGCGGAAAAACAGGTCCTCAAAATACCTGAATTTTCCCCAGTACACAAACACTGAGTACGACTCTTTAAATTCGGTTCAGCACAGCGGAGAAAATTACTTCGAAAAACTTCGAAAATCATGAATTTGCTGTATTTCCCTCCGAATCTCTCTTTTTACTACAGCCTTGCTCGCTTTAAGTTTTCCTCCCCAAATGCTCAAATCGTGCACGACTTGCAGCGTTTGAACTTTGACCTTTTGCTGGCTTTTCAGGCCAGCCAAGAAGAGCATGTGGAAGTGTGGGAATTGCACATGCCTCGTGCTTCAATTACTGTTCAACCATTTTGCAGCAATCTCCGCATAAATATTGTAATAACATTTATCTGGCCACAGGCAATGTGGACATTTTATAGATGACCCAAGGGAAATCGAAGCGAACCAAACCAAACCAAACCAAGCCAAAGGCAGATGAAGCCAATTCAATTTACGAGCTCATTTCGAGCCCCAGTCAACCCACATCAATTTTGGCCATAACTAAAACTAATTCAAATGAAACAGTCTGGTAGCAAATTGCCCGAGAGCAAAGCGGCGGCAAATGTGCCCATTAAATAAACCAAGCCCCACACAACAGGCAGAATGCACTCATGCAATTACCGGGTCGGGAAAGGGGTTCGTAATGTTTGGCTCCTGACAGTTGACTGACAAGTTGTCAATGGCAGCGGCCAGGGGAGAGTGGGAGCGGGTAGCGGGGAAAGGGAAGATGGAAGAGGGGGGATTTGGGGGAACGGAGCACATTTCAAAGCTGTGACAGCAGAAATGTTATTTCTCGGGAGCGAGTGCACACAAAGGATCGATGACGGCGACAGCCAAAAATTAGCTGTCAAGCTCCAGGCTCCGCAGGGACCAAGGGGTGGTTGCTCATGGCCCACGATTTAAGTTTGCCAACAGTCCACAGTCAACCGTCATAAGTTTGCAGTTCGTTACCCGTTCGCAAGGCGCCCTTTCTAACAGCCTTCCGCATCCTCTCTCCGTCGCGAACAGGTGCCCCCGACCAACCAAACGAAGAACGATGGCGACAAAGTGATATTCTCCTGCGAGGCTAAGGCCATGCCCGGCAACGTCACGGTCCGCTGGTACCGCGAGGGGTCGCCCGTGCGGGAGGTGGCCGCCCTGGAGACGCGCGTCACCATCCGCAAGGACGGCTCGCTCATCATCAACCCCATCAAGCCGGACGACTCGGGCCAGTACCTCTGCGAGGTGACCAACGGCATCGGAGATCCGCAGAGCGCCTCCGCCTACCTGAGCGTCGAGTGTGAGTATAAAGCCCTCTTTCTGTGACTACCAATACTTGATTTCCCTTTAACGCTCTGACAAAGAGTATACTAGTTAAAATACATTTGCCCATTCCATCAAATGGTATGCAACTTATGCTCTAGTTATGGATACCTACTATTCCCCACTTTCTCTGCAGATCCCGCCAAGGTCACCTTCACGCCCACTGTGCAGTACCTGCCGTTCCGGCTGGCCGGCGTGGTCCAGTGCTATATCAAGTCGAGTCCGCAGCTGCAGTACGTCACTTGGACGAAGGACAAGCGCCTGCTGGAGCCCTACCAGATGAAGGACATCGTGGTGATGGCCAACGGGTCGCTGCTGTTCACGCGGGTGAACGAGGAGCACCAGGGCCAGTACTCCTGCACGCCGTACAACGCAAAAGGTACGGCCGGTGCCTCCGGCATCATGGACGTGCTCGTCCGGAAGCCGCCCGCCTTCACGGTGGAGCCGGAGACACTCTACCAGCGCAAGGTCGGCGATAGCGTGGAGATGCACTGCGACGCCCTGGAGGCGGAGGGCACCGAGCGGCCCACGATCAAGTGGCAGCGGCAGGAGGGCGAGCAGCTGGCCGAGTCGCAGCGCAACCGGATCAAGATCTCCGGCGGGAACATCACCATCGAGAACCTGCGGCGCGAGGACTTCGGCTACTACCAGTGCGTGGTCTCGAACGAGGTGGCCACCCTGATGGCGGTCACCCAGCTGGTGATCGAGGGCACCCAGCCGCACGCCCCCTACAACATCACCGGGAAGGCCACCGAGTCCTCGATCACGCTGCAGTGGCTGCCGGGCTACAGCGGGGGCTCGGAGTACAAGCAGGACTACACGATCTGGTTCCGGGAGGCGGGCGTCAACGACTGGCAGACGATCTCGGTGACGCCCTCGGGCAGCACACAGGTGACCATCAACGGCCTGGCCTCCGGGACCACCTACGAGTTCCAGGTGGTGGGCCGCAACGTCCTGGGCGACGGGATGATGAGCAAGGTGATGACCGTGCGCACACTGGGTAAGTCCTCTGGATCCTCTCGCATTTTCTTTCGCTCGCTTGCTCTTCCTTTGGGTTCTTGCTGCAGTCGCTCCCTGGCATATCCTGCACATAATCTCATGAAAAACCTCTGCACAACTGATCTGGATTGGCTCTAACATAACGCTCTTATTTTCTCTCGTTTTCTTCTCTTTTCCTCACCGACCTCCATCGAAACAAAACCGCTACTCGATTTAACTTTCTCATACTAATCATGCGCGCAATCAAATGCAAACCGTCAAATGCCAAACCGCGACTACGAATTTTTCCTGGGAACCACGGAAAATTCGGGTTCAGTAGAAGACGCTCCGGCAGCGCCACGTAATGTCAAGGCTGCAACACAACCGCCCGACTCATTCTTTCAGCTAATGCCAGACGAAGCTGGTAAGAGAAAAAACCCAAACCCAACCGTAAATCCCCAGAACGAATAGCTTTTAACGTGAATCGGAGAAATAGAATCTCATCCAACTCGAAGATGACCCGTAAATCTTAGCCACCGACGTACAAGGATCAGATCTGATTTGCCCCAGAAAGCTTTTTATTGCAAAAGCCAACAACAAAATTTTAAATTTGATTCCAAAAAGTTTTTAGTTCGAAAGCTAGCTCCAAGAACCTTTCTGCACTACTGCATGGAAAGTACTGTACTTCTGTTTTACAATTTAGTTGTTATCTTCATAGTTTGAATAGAAAAAATAGCAATAACTTACTTCAGATTTTTTTGTGTGGGTTAAAATGCGTTTATTTTAAGATTAGGCAAAATTTAACATTTTTCTGCCGATTTCCTGCCGTAACTTGGTCAAAGCATGTCCTCTGTTCTACAGTTGCATTTATGGATAATTTGAATGGGTGACATTTATTTCTTAGCAAGGTGAAATCATTTAAAAACACACTGCAACCCCTGCTGGATACTTTGCTAGACTCCTAGATTGCATGAGGCTTGAATGTAGCTCCTGGGATCCCGACCCTAAAATGTAAATACCAACGTTTATTTTTGAACTATTACACCAAGTTATTGGATAGTCTGAATACCGAGCTCTCGTCCGACTCTTGGCCCTCCAAACGCTCCATACCCTCCCCTTGTGGCCAAAGGCCCGCTCTCCCCAAAGAATTCAATATTCATTTTGGCTTTTGGGGCCGGCTACGAAAAAAGCAACAATTAAATATTCAAACCAATTATACAGGGCTGCGCTCTGAACCCAGCAGTTATTGGCTGCCAAAGCACGCCCCGAATTCGCGCCATTTCCCACGGGGCATAATTTGCCACATGTGCTGGGGATTCTGGGCCCTGGCCTTCTGGCCTGGATGCGAATATTACGTTTCCGCCGCTCACGCACACAGCGAGGACTATCTGGGTCTGATCTGCGTTCGCGTGTGTGCGTAATTAAAACAGTTTGGCCCCACATTTAATTATTTAAATTAATTGAACTGTTTTTACAACGGCTGCCGGGGTGCCCTTGTTTTTTTCCGTGTCTTGCAGGTTGTGCGGTCGATATGACAACGCCCACGCCCACTTCCACTTCCACTCCCACTCCCACTCCCGAATAGCGAGCACGGGGTGGCACAGTTTAAACAGCCATATTACCAAATGCCGAGGCACATTTAACAAGCCCGCCCGTTGCGCCCCTCCAGATCCTTCCTCCGCTTTTGCGGGTGCCGTAGGTGCGGCAATTTGAATGCCTTTGTCTACGCTGCCGCGTGTTTTTCCAACCGCTTTGCGATAATAGTTAATTTTATCCTCGCCCTCTGCTCCTCTGCTCTCCACTCGATGTGTAGTTCCCCTGTATATATGCATACCCCGCCACACACATACTAACAAATAAATGTTTTTCACCATTTAGCGTATTTAATTTACTTACATTAGTCTGCGTGTATGGGAAAGTGTGTGTGCGTGTGCCAGTGCGTATACGTGTTGGCGCACGCGTAGGTTAAAAAATAAGGAAACTGCTACAGAAATCAAGCAACAACAAAAACGACAACAACAACGATAGAACACTGTTTCGTCGGCGGTTACTTTGGCGCAAATGTGCGCCGTGTTGTGTAATGCAACCCTGGATTTCGTGTACGTGTGTACCTTTTTTTTGGCGCTTGTAACGAAACACCTACAACCAGAACCATCCAATGCCACCGCCCATTCGACCGCTCTCCGCCCATAGACACCACCCACCACCCCGCCATTTCATTCTCTGCAGCACAGCCGAACAACCACGACTCTAACTAAACAACAACAGCAGCTTAAGCAAATGCCTCGCAGAAAATTGTGTTTTCCTTGGCTTTATTTTCGATTGCGCTCCTTGGTCGCTACTTTGTGTTTCTTATGATATTTTTTAGTCCTGCATAAAACATCAACGCTAAATCATAGCCCCTGCCCCGCCGCCCACCTCCAGAAACCCCGCCCCGAAGTGCGCTCGTGCATCTGTGTGTTTATGTCCGTGCCGCATTCGCGTATGCCAAGCAGATTTCATACGCCGTGTAGACCCGCTGTCGCTGGCATTTGCCCACACCCACCACCCACTGCCCCACCCAACCGCCGTCAAGTGAGTGGTGCAGAGCAGCTCTGCTTTGCGTGCCGTTTCGTCCATGCGTCGCGGCTCTTAAAAATTAATAACAACAATGCGAGCAGCAGGCAGCGCGCTTCAAGAGCTGAAACATTTACGCTCCGACATTCGACAAAACAGTGAAGTGTCACCCCGAAGGATTAAACAATAACCAGAGACAATGCATGTCAAGGTTGATTATAAGAGGAAGCCCGCACATGCGAACTTATGAATATTCAGCCGATTCACTGTCATTATTGCGTCACAGGCCTTGTTGCCGTGCGAGTTTTTCAGATCGGTAGGCAAGGGAGTTTGCGTTAGAGCGAGGTAAACCAATAAAAGATTGGAGAACGAGTCCTGACTGGCCAACTTTGAGCCCTGTAGTTAGCACACCTTTCGGTACTGGATTGCACTTTCTTTTCTTTTCCAACACGCACGACCTTCCTCTGCACTCCTTAGCTTTAAATTTTTACTCGCCTCGATTTAATTTGATTTGAATTTGTGTTTCGTGTTTTTTGTTCTGATTTATTTACAGACCTCTTAGCTTTTTTCGACATTTACTTTCACACCGACTCGCGTGGCAAGCTAGTTTACTCGCCGCCCAGGTTGAGGGTCAAAGGTACTCCATCGAACATAAGTAGATAATATACACTAAGTCCCGGCCCTTCCCTGCATTATTTTTTCGCATTTTACGTTTCACTCGAAAGTGTCGCTTAAGCAATGTCCCTGTCCTTCGGAACAGCTGGTAAGTCCTGCCAGCAACCTGCAGATTTACTGTGGGCCCCCGTCCAACCCTTTCCGAAATCCCCACCACTGCAGTCATAAATAACATTTAACCGAGCTGCGCCGCCTCGTATTTTTGTACACCCCTACTCTGCCCTTGACATTTTTACAGTCCGTCCGTCTGTTCTCCGTTTCTACCCATCTCATTTAGGCCTTTCGCTTTCCCAGCCGCTTTCCCGAGCCATTTTGCTTTTTATGTTTGTCACTTGTCTCGTTTACGTAATGTTAAATCTGCACACATTTTTTATGCGGGCCGAGAATTAAAGGGTTGCTGCCTTGCTCATTTCTGCCCCATTCGCATAATCAACTTTTGATATATGCGCCAAGTATGCGCTTTCAAATCCCGCGAGGGCCCTTTAAAAGCATTTTTAATTAACATACATACATACATAACTAGCGTGGCATTTTTCGTTAGCCGCATCACCATAATATATGGCCTGCACTTATTGCCGCTCGTGGGGAACCCCCAAAAGCCCTAATATCCTTCCATTCGCACCGTCAGCTCATCTAAACTCCGCTCGAACACACACTTGCCATATTTACCATACGCACACCTCGCATACATCGTTTTACGCTCTTAAAAATTTCATAAGCGCCATTGGGAGCAACGAATTTGGCGTCATTTACATGACATTGTGTATTTCTTTAAGCAGTTTGAATTTGCATTTGCATGGGCGAACAACTGAATCCGGAACACAGAGTCCTAAGATCTCTGGCTCCTATTCCAATCCCCCGGAGACCGGCAGTTAATTGCATCGAGACCGAGTTCTCCAATCAGAGGACTGACAAGCGCACCGAGAATTCAGGTTATCTCTGCCTATAATTCGTTTGCATATCCCCAATGGTGTCCTTCCCGACTCCTGTTTGTCAGTCGTGCAGTTTTTGCACCCCTCCATTTGGGAGCCCTGACGTTAGTCTGAGCCCACAAGTATTCAAATGAAATTCGAAAATGGAAAGTTTCATGTGTGTGTATGCTAATTAAAATGTGTTTTTGTCAATCCCTTCACATGCAGGGCTCGCTGTCATGAATAAATGCATGGCTAAAAAAGGAAAAGGGTGCGGAGTTGTAAAAAGCTAAATGGAATTTTTATAAAGCTTTTAAGCGTAGCAAAAAAAAAACTAAATAAATAAAATCATCTAAAACAGAAAAGTGTGAAGCGGGCACTAGGAGATCCACTACATTTTTCCATCAGAAGGTTACCTTAAATCTTGTATTGGAATCCATGTTCAAATTTAAAGTCGGGCCTCATTTTATGTTGGAAATGGAAAAGAGCCAACGGCAAAGGGTAATAAAAGGGCAGTGGAAAATCCCCGCGCAACTAAACAAAGCAAAAAATGAAATGGAAATAAATCAAAAATAATGCAAAGGATTTAGCCATACACTGAAAGCAATGTGCTGAGAAGCTGAAAAACATATATATGAAGTCGAAAAGATTATTTATACATCCTTTTGTGATGAATAAAACAATGACTTTCATTAAATAAATTTGGTAATTTATGAGAACTCGATAATGGATCATTGTCCTACGAACTCTCTCTTCAATTGTTTTCACTGTATGTATATTTCGATGCCAGGTTTTACCTTTGTACGTTGTTGGCAATTGAAATTGGCTTTAAGTTCTGACTGGAAAACAAGGCAGCACAGAAGGCCTCGTCCCTTCCCCGTATTGTAAATGTACATGCTAATGGTTCGTTTTTGCTCTCCCATCTTCTCCTCCCACAAATCGCAGGTCCCAAGCCAGGTCCACCCAGGAACGTGTCCGTGACGGAGGTGTCGAACGGGTTCCTCATCACATGGCAGTCACCGCTGGAGCGGGCGCACATCGTCAAGTTCTACACCATCAAGTACCGGACAGACGCGCAGTGGAAGACCCTCAACCGGGGGCAGATTCGGCCGGAGGAGACGCAGTACCTGGTGAAGAACCTGGTGGGCGGAAGGACCTACTACTTCCGGGTGCTGGCCAACTCGGAGAAGTCGTACGAGTCCAGCGACGAGGTGAAGTTCCCTGTGCCGGCACGTGTCAAGCACAAGGCGATTACCGCCGGCGTCGTTGGGGGCATCCTGTTTTTTATTGTTGCGATCATTTTATCGGTTTGTGCCGTAAAAATTTGCAATAAACGTAAACGACGAAAACAGGAAAAAGGTAACACTGAGGCAAAAGCTAACACACACACTTGAAATGGTTTTTGATGACAATCACAAAATGATAATGCCACAATGCTAATGCTAATGATGATGCTAACGATATAGATGTACCGATGATTCGTGCGATACTAATATCTGAACACTCCTAACAGTAATAATCGATGGCGATGTTCTTGTTGTTGGCGAACCCAAAACCATAACCATGAAATTTAAGCCCCCTAATTGAAACTTACTAACGTTCCGGCCGCGGCCACTTGCTAATTAACTATGTATTCCGAGATTCGATACTTGACCTTTTGACGGCACAGGCCACCCAATTGTGCATAACCTTTAACTGATTACCGATAACCGTAACTTGCTGTTCTCATTTGACTTATGCTTGAATTTGAGTTTTACCGCAGTGGAAATCCGCTTGTGTTTTCTATACAGTTCCGAAACATTGGTGATCTCGACAACAATAACACATTGGAAATTGCATTTGAAACCATTTGTTTTGTCCAAAGTGAAATCTCACAAAATTGTTAAGCTATCGAGGCGTTTGATCTGAAAATCTCCATAAATTATGCCTGTCTGAAAGTATGATTTGTACGTTTTTGTTGTAGTTGTGCAAGTAAAATTGAGTTACAATTTGGCCAAAGTTGCTGCGAAATCTTTGTAAATATATTTACATACTAATTGGACTTCGGTTTGATTTGTTTTTGGGTAACTCTTTATGTTGGTTTCCTATTTTATTTTGTTTTAAGTTTTAAGACCCCCTTTTCCCCCTCGTCGCCCTTGGTTCCCCAGTGATTTCCGTTGACAAAAATGGGTCCCCAGATCTTAGTTCACAATCGGCTATAAGACCTCCGAAATTATCAGCTTTGTTTGCATTCAACTGTTTAATTTTCTGTTCGTATTTTTGGGGTTATTTATCAGCGTGTTAAAAATTGTTTACAAATCTGAATTCATAGCGCTTTGCAACCTGTTTGTTTTTGAATTCAACGCATGAAAATAATACTAGTTGTTGCCACTTAAGTAAGCATTAAGCGAACATCGAAATTCAATCGATTAAACTCCTTTTGTGCCTTTCCCGCCCCCGGGGAAAATTCCTTGCGAAGCGAGTATGAAAACCTGGCCAAAATTAAGCCAGGGTCAAAATCAGGACATCGCTTATACCTCTCTCGCTGGCTTTAACGCAGTCGAATCGAATCCGAACCGAACCTACCAAACCCAACCAAACCAAACCGAACAGAACCGAACCGAACGGAACCGTGTGCATATCGAACCCCAGTCTCTGCCTTCTATAATGGTTTTTGCTTTAAACTGTATTTTAAGTGGATTAATTAATGTTGCGTTGTTTAAATCAATTATTTATGTATTCTTTCCGAGACCCCGCCCCACACACCTACACAACACAGAAAAAACAATGAGCAGGGAAATTCAATTTTTTTAAATCAACGCAGCCCATTAGCTGTGAAATATAATGTACGAAGATACATACGCATATTCTGTACAGAACACATTGTTCTCAACTTTTGATTTTTTTTTTTTTTTTTTTGCTGAGGCAAGCACATTATATATCCGACAGAGCCAATAGATTAACGTAAAACAGCTTACATTCAAATGTGACAAGCTGATAGTGCTGGTGATCGAAATGCCTTTATCTCCGAACCATTGACAAGCATGTTCTCGGCCAAATCGTCGTTGTTTCTGCCCAGGGCTGAGTTCATGACAGATAAAAGCATTTCCACCACGGAGGAGATCAGAGATACGAACACCTATATACATGGCTGATGACCATTTATATAGCATAATACTGGGCAGACGTTTTTTGTAAACAATTCACGCACAAAGATGGTAAAATAAGGCCCACAAACCAGTCGATAGAGCGAATAGCAAACCAATCTAGAAACCGAATCGCAGGCATAAAATGATCGCGTCATCATTTGGTCGGTTATCCAGTCCCCCGCCGTTGTCTGCCCAACTTTCGGACTTCGAATCGCTGGCTTATAAAGCTGGCGCTGATGAAGAGTTTATTTGAGGTCCGAGTTGGGCACTCAATGTGCGGGGCGACCAGTAAAGCAATCCGAAATTTGAGAAATGCTATATGTAGTAAGACCCCACTAAACCCCAACATCGATGCAAGCAAGGGTAAGTTTTTGCAATCATTTTAAGTCGATGTCGTGTGCCACAGATCCCGAGTACTGACAACAACTAAAGGTTATTTTCAGACGAGTCCCACCACCCCACCAACCCACAACTAACCAACACTGACACCACAACCAACCTCCAACCACTCGAGCCTCATCGATTAAGCATCTGCATTCCACCAAGAGTCCGCAATCCGTCGGTTAAATGTTGTCAGTGCTTCCTCTCGGGCAGATCGATCAGATTCTGCCTGCGCAGCACTTTCTCGAGTTTTCAAGCACCCCACAGATACCATAATTACCCAAAAACTCAAGCACAGCTAAACAAAACATGACCGAAAGGCAAACCAAAACCATACTTCTCCACACTTTTCGTTTTTGTATGAATCACGTCTTCTTCTTTGGCAAACTTTTGTCGCTCGACTCTTCAGTTTTGCTTTCTTCCGTTCGTTTTGCATCCCCATAATCCTCATATGAAACGCAGTATTTGGTTTTCGATTTGCATTCTTGAGTTCCCGTTTCTTTCTTTCCGTTGGCACAATTCGTAACTTGACCATTCAAAAGCCATTTCACGTGTCATTGTTTTTTCCAACCATTCGAAGCCAGATCCTAAATAAAATACTGCGAAGAGCACACGGCTGTGTATATGCACCTCGGAGTGTGTGCGTATGTAACATGCACCAAGTTTTCGCATATAACCGTATATATTTGGGTTTGTCATCGTCAGCTGGCCGGAGGGTGCATCGCGTTTTGAATAGTTGGCAACAATTTGCAATGTCCCCGTAACAGCCGTTCGATTAGCCAAACTATCTGAGCTCTGACTGCGAAATTAGCTTCCTGGTTCACTAATTGGCGCCTCCTCCTTGCTTCCATGTAATTGCAACCCCAATCAACCGAAACTAACAACATAGTTTAATCGTAGTATTGTAACTGCTAACTGGTAAATGGCAACTATTATCTGTTAACCGGCGACTGTTGAATGTCCCTTAGTAATAGCCTAGTTACTGCTAAAACCCAACAGGAGTGTAATTTGATGATGCTGGCATGCAAATTGGCATAACCAACGTGTCCAACACGTGCACAGCGACCAAGGAACGTAACGAGATCTCAAACTAACGAATTCAGAACACTTATTTGGAGCTCCTTTCTCTCTGTGCACTTACGACCTTTTTCCCCCGCCCTCAACAAACACCAAAAAAAAAAAAATAAATATACTCCGCGTTATGCCAGTTGATGCGATGCGATACGCAGAATTTCGAAAGACAGTATTCGCTTATATACGTCTATATGTAGAGAGCACCGTAGTATGCATATGCATAGACTTATTTCCGTGAACGTGTGTGTATATAGAGTGTGTGTGCTTGGTAGCTGTACGTACGGTGTACGGGTATTTTATTTATCGGATGGGACGGCTCACGCTGCACGCCAAATTAATTGTAGAAATTATACGTTTGCAGAGTTCAACATGGTAGCTTGCAGGATAACGGACGCTCGTAACATTGCCGCCAATAATCATCATTTGCACAATCGCAGTACGGGCTCAATTTCCTCTGGTCAAGTGCCTTTAAAAAAGTGAGTATGTCCTTGGATCGCCTCTAATCTGACTCGAAATTCTCCCCGCCAATCTGCAAATCGTATCCGTATCTGTATCTGTATATGTATCTGTAACGTTGTCATCTATCTGTCTACCCATTTCACTTTGATTGGCAACCGCCGTGCACGTTCCACCGATCTACTATCGCTCCATAGCAATACTGAACATTACCGTGATTATGAAAGCGTTTTTATAGTTCCAGGTCCATCCTGTCATAATCAAAATCGTAAGCAAACTTTTTTCAAACTTAAACAAAGTTTTCTTTAGTTGAGTTGGCTTTAGTTAAATGATTTTCTGAGTTTTTCTCTTTCGTTTACTTTTGTTTCGCTGCTTCCTGTACAGCGGGAGTTAAGGGATTTACCTAATGACTTCAGAAATGTTTACAAAATTGAGCTCGAGAGCAGAGCTGGGCTAGCAAAGCTCCTGTACCTTGCTATAAAAACTCTCAACATTATTTAATCAACTGAATTACTAGCATTTAAAGTCGAGAAGTCCTCTTAAGTGACTCCGAACTGAAAAGATTTTTAAACCCTTGCCATAAAGTAAATATATTCTTGTTCAGCATCACGATCTGAATCGAAATACGTCTGACGTCTGTCCGTCGGTCCTCTTGTAAAAAAAAAATTCTCACGCCATTATTTTTTATGAAATTTTTCTTCTGACTGAAATTATAATGCTATCTGCAATGGTATAAAAATCGTCATAGCTTTTGTGTTGTTAAGCCTTTATATAATTTGTTCGACATATTTGATGACTGCAGGGATATATAAGCTTCGGCTCGCTGAAGCTAGATTCCTTTCTTGTTGCTTATATTTTGTGTATAATTTTATAGTCCTGAGTTTCTGTTGAAATGATTTAAAAAAATTCTAGTAGTTGTTGAATAGCTAAATTAAGCCTTGTCTTATCCGGTACAGGTACAAACAAACCCGAATATCAAGTCTAACCGCCATCCTCATCGCCATACTGCACTGGATCTGGCCGCCCGATCGCTGCACCAACTGCCACTCCATCTACAGCTCGCCGAACCTCGAGGACGGCGAAGGGGATGGCGGTGGCGGAGGACGAAGGCGGTCCGTGAGCCGTATTCAGCGGAGCCTTGACGGACGCTTTGTGTTGGACGTGGAGGGCGTTTCTAAACTCGGATACTCGCAGCAGACCTTGGAGCAGGGCAGTGTGGATGTGGTGGACGGCGGACTCTTCGAGCGCAGGAACAGCAACGTGTCCCAGAAGTCCTCCAGCGACGACGGGGGATTTCTGTCGAGGCGAAACTTCATCACAGCTCGGGCTTCGTGGCGCCGTCCCTTGGTGGCCTCTTCCAGTCAGCTGAGTCTGCAGTCGGCGGCGGACTCGGCAAGGGGCTTTCTTCAAGGCCTCCTGAAAATAGGAGGCAAGCAGTCCGCAGGTCCCAACCAGCAGTCTTACTTCGACGAGGCAGTGAGTGGAGCTCGCTACCAGAATGTCCTCCGGCCCTACACCAGCAGCTACAACTTGTACGGAAACGCGGACAGGAGCAGGCCGCTGCATATCAACACAATCAGCGGAAGCCTCAGCCAGCAGCACTACACTCCCTCGCGGACCTCAAGGATATTCTCGAGCTCCCCGCAGCAGCACAACCACCTGCAGCACCACCAGCAACTGCTGCTCTCCAGCGGAGGCAGTGGCTCGTACCCCACGCACTTCAGCGACCTGAGCACCGTGTATCCCCCGAACTCCGCCGAGCGATCGTCGCACAACCTGAGCAGCAGGTACAGATACTACTCCCAGGAGCTGCCCTCCTTGAGGACCATTCAGGAGGAGACGCGGCGCCAGCAGCAGCAGCAGTCGCACCTCCTGGAAGACCACTTCGTGCCCCTGCAGCTGCCCTCCCCTCCGTCGTGGAGGTGCTACTACCAGTCGCAGGCCAGCTACCGCCCTCGAACCCGATGGTATCCCCGCCACCACTCGCGGCTGTTCGGCAGCCGGCAGCAGCAGCACGAGATGCTCTCTCCCTTGCCGCAGCTGAACCTGAACCTGCGCAACTCCATCAACCCCGGCGGCCTGGAGGCGTCCCCGGAATCGCGCTCCAGTTCGAGTGGCTTCGGCTCGAAGAACACGTCCAACCACCCGGGAAGCACCAGCGAATGGCGTCTGCTGCCGCCTTACAGAGCCCCTCCGTCGCCGTCCAAGCACTTGGGCTACTTCGGGGGACAGCAGGCCCAGGGGCAGACTCCCCACGCCTCCTACTCGTGTCCCAGGGCCACGACGCCCCCGTACACGATGGCCCACTGGCTGGAGATGATCTCAAGGCTGAACGCGGCCACCGACAGCAATCTCCCGAAGGCCTGTCCCGTGGACGTGGGCAGTGTGGACGGGCACTACGAGTTCGACCCGGCCACGCCCACCCCCAGCGCCTCCAGCATGCTGCGCGAGGATCTCAACCTGCACATTGACACACACCCCTACCACCACCACACGCTCGGGCCGCTCAGCGGGAGTCTGCTCCATAGCCACGCCCCCTTTGCAGGGGGCGGCAGGAAGGCGAGATCACTGGCGGGTCACCAGCCGCGATACGACAACGTCGAGGTAAGGCTGCAAGCCATGAGGGAGGAGTTCTATGCCTACCGCAAGCGCCAAGCGATTCAGCAGATGGAGAGCGTTTGCTGAGCCAGTGAAGCATTTAATTGGTACATGCCACCCCAACGGCCATCTCGCCCACAAGTGCAACCACACCCACACCCACATTCACGCCCACGCCCACAACACAAAGAGCCAGTTTCATAGGAAATCCCTCGCAGACATTCCGACAAAGTTGGACAGCAGCGGCCGAGGCAATAAGACGCGATATAATATTGGATCAGCCCCCAATTCAGAGATGAACTTTAAAAGTTTGGCCTCCTGCTAACTCACACTGAAAAACAAAAACAAAGTAACGAAACACTTAGAAGCCAGAAACAATTAGTAGATTTAAACGTGAGGAGGAAGCTGTGTAAATATATTCGAGGCAAGAAGAGAACCCCCAGAAGGTTAAGTATAACATTAAAGAACTATAGCAATTATAGCAACATATTATTAACATATTAAAGGCAAGTAAATGAAGCAAACATTGTTTGGCGTCATATGCAAAGAACAAATTACAGTTACAATACATTATTATTTTCAAGTGTACTAGATATGATACTTGAGGTATCACAGATCGATTATGTTAAACATTGAGCATTAAATATTAATTAACAATCCACAAGAGTAAGCCTAAATTATGTTATATTACAACTAAACTAAATTAGTATGGAATATGCTAGCGGTTAAGCATTTAGTTGTTAACAACTAGAGCAGAGATGAAAAAAGAAGGTCGACTCGAAAATAAAACGCTAAAAACTAAAAAAAAAAAATATAGAGAAATTGTTTCATAATTAAATTATTTAACGACAAAACCTACAAAGAAAAGTAAAAGACGAGGCAAAAAAACGAAAACAGTTTAACAAGAATTAAATGAAATATAAATGCTGCATATATGTTTACTGTTGATCTACACACGATAATTAACTCAAGCAAATATTTATTAACCCAAACGTAAAAACAAAACAAAAATCAAAGAAAAACGAAATGAAAGGAAACCAAAAACGAAGCGATGAGCAACTATTCTTTCCGGTTTGACTCACATCCCAAGACAACGTCAATGAATAAGCTAGGAACATAGAACAGGTCCTTCGATCCGAACAGATCCTGGATTCCCAAGAGCGATGGTATTGGTCTTAGGTTATAGGTCAGTTGTGTATAAGACAGTTCCCCGGATGCAGCTTAGTTAAACTCGACGACACTCGAGGCGTTTCAGTTTTTAAGTACTTGTTAACAACAAACGATAATTGATTAATGTCTAATGATCAAATTGTACGGAATGATGGTTTGACACAACTTGACGCCAAAACACTGCCAGAGCGAGAGATGCGAGAAGACCGCGAGTGTGTATAACGTGTGTAAATTTCAGAGCATAAACAAAATATAATACAGTTAATATAATCCAGTTTACGATAACACTATTCAGGGGACGGTTGGGGCACAAAAAAAATCGAGAAATCAACTATGAATCAACCGACTAATGATCTCAAGCATTTCTTTTTTCCTGCGAAAAGCAGTTTTGCGAACCGTACTGAGTTCCCCGATTTTTAAATTCTGATTTCCGCCCTAGATATGAGCCCACTTTTGCCTGACAGATAATCAGATAATCAAGGGAGCGCGGTCTTAACATATTACTCAGATCAAATAGGTTGCTTTTTGTATTATAGGGCACAGAGAAAATCGCATTTAAATTGAAAACTAGTATAACCGTTTGAAGAAGGGACAAAATCTCGAGTTGTGTTGCATGTTTTTGAAAATGTTGATTCAAGCAAATAAGTTAATTTTTGTGTTGCATTGGACACCCACACTCTGACACGCTCACACTGAGAGCACACACAATGAACGTTTAACTAGAATGAAATAAATTAATTAATTAACTGAGCATTAACGGAAGGCAAACGAAGAGGAGCGCAAACGATGATTGCGAAATGACAGCCTATATTTAATTTTAATTAAGCGACGGAGCTACTTATGAGATGTTAGGCGCAGGACCTTAAGGAAAATATATACATACATATATGATTATTTATACGAATACATGTGTATGTGGTACATATATATGCATATAGATACTGGATTACACGGCATGTACATTATGAGGAGTGCATTGTAACTAAGTTAAGTAAATCTAACGCTTTAGTCTGCCACTTTGATTTTTGGACAAGGTGCGCCAGTTAACTTTTCGACTCGACTCAAAGAAATGAACAAAAATAGGATCTATTAAAGATACATAATAAAATTATAAGAAAGGGAAACCTATATTCTTTTGCACCACCTTTCATCTTGACGACCATTTGATGACATTTCCAGACACAAACTTATAAACTTTCGCGTCACTTTCCCATGCCCGCCAACACACTTTCACTTTCCAAACCTTCCCCACTGCAATTCCAATTCAGCATATATAAATCGTACAAGGATAAATCAGTTTAGAACGAAATATATTGTAATTAATACAGACACACAATTATAAAGAAAAATTAGCAAAATGAACAAAATTTTTAAACAAATTAAACTTACAAAACAACCAAAAAAAAAAAAAAAACAAACAAAAAACGAATAAAAATACAAAACTTAAAATTGATAAAATAAAACGAACAACCTGTGTTTCACTGCATTCCGAACAATAAATACCCGGAAACTGGACTTAATTGATGACCCCTTTGCTTTCACAAAAATATCACTCATACGCCAGCGTGGCCAACCTGAAGATGACGCTGACATTGAGGCAATTAAAGTAATGTAATTCACAAAATGTGTGTATAAGTGAGTCACGGATATGCAGGGGACTAATCCGAATAAGAGCCGATTGACGCAGTTTTTAACCGATGTAGTCCTTTAAATTGTGTTTAGAGCGACAATTGCTTGATCATCTGCTGGTAGAGTTCAATCTTCGGACCAAACGCTGTCTGCAACACTTTGACGATTGTCTAATTATTAAAGTGGATAAACGTCGACGAAAGCGAATTGTGGGGGAGACTCTGGGCAGACAAAGGAGACCCCATCAAATCAACTGGCGTGGGCGTGTGTCAAATGTCAAATGCAGTCAAACGTTTGACAGGCGAAAGAGCAGACTAAGCCGAAGCAAAACATCACTCAGCTTGGAAATAGTGATCGGGGTTGGTCGGCTTTTCTGTCTACTACACGGAAAAAAACCGCACTTAATTAGTTTTAAATTCGCAGGTTAAACGTCTTCATTCTTTGTAGCCTCTGTCACAAAAGTCCAGGCTCGAATTATATTCACATTTTAAATTCATAAAAATAATTTTGACATTTTATTAGCACAACGGCATCTCTTTTAAATGCCTTACAAAACTATCATTTTTTTCTGTGGGCTTCATCAGCAGAAAAGCTCGGCCCCATCTGCCAGTCGTTCTGCAGTCTGATCGCGATTTGGTCTTGGCTTTCAGTAGCGCTTCTCCAGCCGCTCTGTTTAGTTCGCAGTCCGCGGTCCACCGACAGAATACCATACCCATACCCCTACCCATACCCATCCGATACCTAAACGGAACTGCGCACAAACTTATAGTACTCAACGGATCGGATTTCGTGCGCCGCCTTAGAAAATCCGAATTCCGCGGGAGAGCTTCGCTCGTTTGGGGCCAATTGACCTGGATTTGGGCTGGGTATTAATTTGATTTTGCGCGGAATCATCGCGGAAACGTTATGCAAGACACCGCGCGCGAGTGACCGAGTGCAGTTCAACCGTCGAGATGCCCAATAAAATGCCAGTGCAACGCAGCAGAACATTCCGGCAATGCCAGTCGCTGTCCGCCTTTTTGGCGCTCTTAATGAGCGTATCCTGTGCCAGCGGCGTCCGCGATCACCGCCGGCAGACCAACCTGGAGGCCAAAGTCGGCTCCCACGTGGTCTTCAACTGCTACATCGACTTTCCCTATGACGCTCCCATCCCGTACCTGGTGCACTGGAGCAAGGATGTAAGCCCTGTGCCCTCAGGAGAAAACTGAGTTGCATATGCGCCCGATATCACGCACTCCTCGAAACGAAATTTATCCTGGGAATATCAGATTAATACGGACCTTTCTGGCCGTGCAGGCCCACTCACTTATTTATGTCTCACGCCGACGCGCACGCAGTTGTTAAATGAAATTGTCGAAATTATTAATTTATCAGACACGTAGGTGGCCCGTACCCTGGCTGACTGACTGACTGGCTGGTTGGATGGCTGGATGGCTGGATGGCTGGATGGCTGGTGGGAGTTCGGTTTGCTTGGTTAGCCTTAATTGCGTCTGCTGGCCGTTGCCAGTGCAGCGCAGCATGGAACGCGGCTCTCACATTCATTAAAAGGGCCGGACTTTACGGCCGCACTGGGAGAATCGCAGTGGTGAAGTGCTCCTTTTTTAAAACAGAAAATGTGGTTTCACAAGCAAGGTTCGCCTTGAAGCCAAGCAAATCTGTTTATAATTCGATGTTTGCAATGTCACTAGTTTATGCCTTTATAGCATCCCTTTTCGCCCAGTGTAGAGAGCCATTGCAGAGCAGAAAATGCAATCGCCGTGCCAGTGGGGGTCATTCCCCAGCAGAAGGGGTGGACGGTTACCGCCCTTGGCTACTAATTAAAGCGCAACCACATGCAGTCGATCGGTCCGGATCCTGGCTGCCTGCATTCGAGTCTTCTGCCGCCCCGGCATGTAAATTTAATTTAGCGCCAGGAACAGATTTCAGTGTCAGCGGCACTTTGAATAGCGGCACATCGCACCACATCAGAAACAAAGCGCAGAAAGCAAAGCACGTCAACGCGAAGTGTGACATTAAAGACAGCTTGGCGGGGTAAGCGAACCAGTCGAAATCAATTTCAATTGGATTCAATCGAATTGAATGGCTGGCATTTTGTTGACAACTGTGAGTAATGCAATTTAATTCAATTGCAAATTCATTGCAATCCTCGCAGACAATCAGCGTCGAACAGAAATATGCGCGCGCTGGTACTTACTATAAACCGACTGAATTACTATTCATCGCACGGCGTTCGTCATCAGTGGACATCAGCCCCTTGAAATCCCCTCAGCCCCCAAGTCCCAACATCCAACATCCATTCACATATTCCCATCGGTAATCGAGAGGCAGCTACATTTTTGACTATTTAGTGCTCGCTTAATTTGTCACTGCCCCGCGCTGTTATTTTAATTCGGTTCCGCTTTTCCCGTGGTCACTCCCCTTTCCATTGTTTTTTATGCTTTTCTTCCAGTCGGTCAGCGGGTCATGATGTCACTTTGATAGATACACTTTAATTGCGCTGCGAATAGGTTCTCTCGCCATGGAATGGCGGACAATTAAACAAATTCGTACGTGGGATTAGAGTCCCCAGGAATGTATGCAAAGGCTGTCTGATTTATGGCATTTCTGATTCCATATATTTGTTGGTCTGTCTGCAAATGTATATAGTACGTAATGTATTGTTTTGTAGAGCGAATTTCACGGCCATTGCGAGGCTGGGTTGCAAATTTTCGCGCCGCAGCGTCGGCAAAATTACCGGATAAATCAAGTTACGTTTGTAATTTGTTAGATAATGCTGATAAATGTGTGTGCGGCGGCAGACGACACTTGACACACAGTTGGGTGTACATAATCACGGCACTGGTTCGGGACGGGAACGGCGGATCTTGAGTGCACCATAATCTACTCAAGGCGTTTTGTTTCGCCCCCATTAGATAGATGGTGGGTGATGTGATGGGGTGACATTGATGCCAGACGGTGCATCTCGATGACGGCTTCCCGATCTCAATTAAAGCACAAACCTAATGTCAATAGATCAACTGACACCCACTGCATCCGATGCCCGATGCCGATGCCTCCCCGGCACACAATTAAACGGATCCCATGGCCCAGCTGCTTTTGCGGTCGGAGGCCATCGATACCCGGCGAACTGGATCCCTAGCATGCGGTTTATGGGACGCGACAGTCCCAGCCCGGCCAATGGAGTAGCATACCATTATACCATACCATACCATACAATATATATATATATACATGGCGCATCCGTACGCGAAAGTCAAGTGCACAACAAAGCGAGCATAAAAATGTGTGAGCCGGAGCAATTAGAGCAGCGGCCAGCGACCGCAGCCGATTCAATCGCATTTAAATAATTCAAGCTAACGCAGTTTTTGCACCACTCCGGCATCTGATGCAACGCAAACACATTCTGTTTGCCCGCATGCCACTATTATTATCCCGTTTTTTATTGCGCTCTCTGCCTAGATGCATAATTGCCAGGCCTCGTGTTTGATAAATATTGACAAATATATTCAACATTAATTAAAACAAAAATAATTTAATATGCCACCAGCGCGAAACCGCAAAAAAAGCGGGGAAGCATAAACAAAAAAGCTGACGAATTGAATTATTATCCCCCCCACAAAACGATAATCTGCTGGCCAGCTTAGAATTTGGTGTAGCAATAAAATATATTATTTTAAAGCAAATTTAAATTTTAGCGAATTTCGGTATTTGATCAGTGGGAAAAGGGGAACCGAAGATCTAAAACACAGACACATTTCAAAGTTTCGAGCTCATTTATGCACATCGTTTTTTAATGCCCACATTAAAGTGATGCCACTTATGAAGAACCTACATAGTTTGATGCATTTAATAGCTGGCTCAATGGCAGGGCAATGAATCCAGAATAGGATTGTCAAAATATTAAATGAAGTCCCAATTTCGTTATCAACATAATCATTTAAGTCACTTGTCAAACTAAACCTACTCCATTTAGTCCAGCCAGCGATTCGATTTAGCATGCACGTGTGTTTCATTACAGCATTGCCTAAAGATATTCGGGGATTTTATGCCTCCTCGTTACTTTCCTTAGCATTCAGGCCATCCTCGTCAAATCAAATCTAAAACCTTTTTCAGGGGCAGGCCGGCATTGAGCACTTCAAGTGCGCCTCGCCACGTGAGCCCATTTAAATTTGTCAACAAAGTAGCGGCATGGGTCCCACACCCCCTCCCGCCACCTCCCCCTCCTGGTTATTGTTGTTCTTGCTGGGCTTCGGGGGGACTCAAAGCCGTTGGCCACCGCTGCGCCAAGTCACAATTATGGTCACGGAGCGTATTCCGAAGAGTATTCCAAAGGGGGTGCTGCCGTACGGGCTCAGCGGGAGTTTGCGAAAATTATAATGGCGCATGGGGACGAATCGGAGGGCATAAACAATCGCATTCCCGTCCGACATAAACAGTAACAGAGCAAGTGTGTGTGGGTGTGTGAGTGTGAGTGTGTTTGTGGGGGGCGTGTTCTATATGGATTCCGCACTGCCTTTGATTTACAACTGCAATTGCAGCCAAGACAGAGAGCCTAGTCATTATGAATAGAAAATTTAGTTTAGGTATTTTCAAGAGTTGCAATTCTCGTTGTCTAAATCAGGCTCTTCTGGCAGGGACTTTAACAATGGTGGCTCAAGAGATATTAGCCCTTTAATGCATTTCTGTGCCCGCAGAGCAAGAAGATCTTCACGTGGTACGAGCAGGAGACCTCCACCAACGAGCTCTTCAACGGAAGGCTGCACCTGGTGGAGAACCACCCGGAGTTCGGGAGGGCCTCCGTGAACCTGACCGCCATCCGGGAGTCGGACCAGGGCTGGTACCACTGCCAGGTGAGCTTCCCGAACCGCTCGCCCTCGGTGCGCAACAACGGCACCGCCTACCACCTGGCGGTGCAGGGGGGCTCGCTCATCCGCATCCCGCCGGTCAACCAGACCATCCAGGAGGGCCAGACCGCCTTCTTCCACTGCGTGATGAAGTACCCGGACAACTCGCAGGCCGCCTGGTACAAGGACGGCGTGCTGCTGCAGGAGGTGCAGGACCTGGTGCGGCGCTCCTACATGGGCCCCGACGGCAGCCTCAGCATCGACCCCACCATGATGAGCGACCTGGGCGAGTACGAGTGCAAGGTGCGCAACAGCGAGGGCGAGCTGCAGACGGCGAAGGCCTTTCTCAACATACAATGTGAGTGGGCAGAGCTCGAGAGAAAACAGCAGACAGCGATTTAGGATCGTTCCACATGTTTCCGCAGATAAGGCCAAGGTGATCTACGCCCCGCCGGAGGTGTACCTGCCCTACGGCCAGCCCGCCGTGCTCGACTGCCACTTCCGGGCGAACCCGCCGCTGAAGAACCTGCGCTGGGAGAAGGACGGCCTCCTGTTCGACTCGTACAACGTGCCCGGGGTCTTCTACAAGATGAACGGCAGCCTGTTCTTCGCGAAGGTGGATGAGAACCACGCCGGCAGCTACACCTGCACGCCCTACAACGACCTCGGAACGGACGGACCCTCGCCAGTCATCAGCGTGATTGTGCTCCGCCCGCCCATCTTCAGCGTCACGCCCAAGGCCATTTACATCCAGAAGCTGGGCGAGGCGGCCGAGCTGCCCTGCGAAGCCATCGACCGGGACGGAAACAATCGGCCCTCCATTGTGTGGAGCAGGGTGAGTCCGCATTGTCGTTTCGGGCTCTGCAAAGCGGCGGGGCCAGATGGAAGGTGGGGGGCGCAGAGTGTGGATAATGGAGAACGCAAATGGCGAAGTGAGGGGAAGTGAGGGGAGATGGGAAGGGGCGAAGAGGTGTTTCACTTGATTGCATTTTTATACCCTTGCAGAGCACAAGGGTATTATAATTTCAGTCAGAAGTTTGCACCGCAGTGAAGGAGACACCTCAGCCCCCGTAAAATATATATCTTCTTGATCAGCATCACGATCTGAATCGAAATACGTCTGTCCATCTGTGCTCCTGTCTGTTTTTATGTAAACTTGTGTCTCAGTTTCTGGCTTGCTGAAATTTTCCCAAAAGTTGTGTAGTTATTGCACGCAGCATATATTTATAATATTCTTATCCCACGAGCATGGTTTACAGAATATCGAGTTTTTTAACAACCCTTGAATCGAGAAAATAAATTCCATAAAAATCGGACAACTATATTATAAAGCTCCCATAGGAAAGATTGAAAAATCTATATAAAATGTCACAAGCATCTGAGAAAGCCCTTTTCGGATTTTTGACAGCGGTCAGAGGTCAGGGTCCCCTAATTCCTGAGGGGATCGGTTAGATTGGAATTAAACTGCATTCAATCGTATAGATTGATGTCTCTATTTTGTTTTCCTGAGGAAGTACATCGTTGGAATCATAACAAAATTTCAAGTCCGATGGCATTCACACCTAAAATTTTGGAAATTTGGCCAATTTTCGGATATTTGATTACTGCAAGGATATAAAAGCTTCGGCTCGCCGAAGTAAGCTTCCTTTCTTGTTAATTATGCATGCTGCCAGCACCTCGACGTGCCCCTGGCTCTGATTCCGGCTCTGGTTCTCCGACTCCCTTCCAGAAAGACGGACAGCCCCTGCCGGCGGACAGGTTCAGTCTCAGCGGCGGCAACCTGACCATCACGGGCCTCGTGGAAGGGGACCGCGGGATGTACGAGTGCTCGGCCACCAACGAGGCGGCCACCATCACGGCGGAGGCCGAGCTCATGATTGAGAACGTCGCCCCACGCGCGCCGTACAACCTCACGGCCAACAGCACGGAGACCTGCATCACCATCCGCTGGCAGCCAGGTGAGAAGTGGGTGCGATTGGGCGAGGAAGTGGCCCGTGTAGGACGGCCAATCAAAGAGGCAATCAGTTGAGAGGAGGAATGCTGACCGTGTTGGGGCAAACATGGTTATCCATTCCTGAAAACGCTTTAATGGGCACTCCTTGAACTCGTCCTGCTCCCAGGTTACCTGCGCCCCAACCTGGAGTACACGGTGTGGTACCGACTCATGGAGGCCCCCGAGTGGCGGACGCTGCGAGTGCTGGACAGGAAGGTGATGGAGGCCACCGTGCAGCACCTGCAGCCGGGGAAGGAGTACGAGTTCATGGTGCTCAGCCAGGACAAGTACGGCGACGGGATGTTCAGCAAGCAGTTCCGCTTCCAAACGCAGCGTGAGTACTCATCCTGGTCTCCCTCGAACAGCGAGCTAAAGCACTCCTTCTCCTCCCTGCAGCCTCGCCCATCAGAGCGGACGACTTCGACGCCCAGCAGCTGCAACACGACCTGGGCCAGGGGACCGCGCCCGCCGGGGGTCTGGGGGCGCCCTGGAACCTCACTGCCATTAGCAACCAGCAGGGCTGGCTGCTCCACTGGGAGCACCCGACCCAGGGACTGGAGGGCCTGCGGCTGTACGCGGTGCGCTGGTGGAAGGAGCCGGAGCACTTCCTCATCGGGCACGCGGAGACCTTCGACAACTTCTACCAGCTGCGGCACCTCAAGGAGGACACCCTGTTCAAGGTGCAGGTCCTGGCGGTGGGGACCGACAGCCAGCGCTCAGTGCCCAGCCACGAGCTGCTCATCGACGTGCCCTCGCAGCGCAAGGTGCGTGCCCTGATCATCGGCAGCTCCGTGGGCGTGCTCTTCCTGCTCTGCGCCCTCTGCGCTTTTTTATACGTGAAGCGGAGCTGCCTCAGGCACCTGTTCGCCAAGGATAGCTCCGCGGGCGAGGACGAGGACACGGCGGAGAGCGGCGACTGCGACAGCGACGAGCAGGAGCGGGACCGGGACAGCGTCAAGATCCACCAGTCCGCCTGAGGGTTGCTCCAGATCCGCTGGCAATTTGGGGGCGAGCAGGGAGGCCAGTGAAATCATTTGAGGAGGGAGGTTGTTCAACACGCACCACTCGCTCCGCGGGAATTCGACTTTAATATACTTCTAGCTGCTATCTGTACCATAAAGTCTACTAACTGTAACGCTTAACTAACCGAGTTTCAGATCCAAATAAACCAAACATCATAATCTCTTTTGAGTTTTAATGCTAAACAAGTTTAAATTAAACTTCAGTAATGAAATTTAGCGATGCCGTGACGTTAGTTAAGTGTTACATTTGCTCGGACGAACGTTTCTTAACACGTTTTTCACGAAAGAGGATATTGTTCAAAATATTTGTCGCTTGCTTTAAAAAACACACGAATTAAATTTAAAGAACCCGCCTTATGGGCATCACTCTTCAAAACAAGCTTTTCGGAATAATGGCATTGTCGTCCCTTTCTGCCACATTAAAAAGCTTCTTCTCGATGTAGCTTTCGAACTCGGTGGAGCTGGGTGGAGCATTTTCCGTTAATTTAAACATTAGTCACTAGTGGCTTTTCAACTGCCCATTGCCATTTGGGTAAGCACGTATTCTTGCCCAGCCTCGCTCAACTGGTTTAAAGCCAATTGACAATTGCCTTCCCGGCCAACTTGCGACTCACTGACAATTAACAATGGCTCTCTGAGCTGGTCATTTAATGGCGGAAAGCACTTGAGCGCACCTGAAATGTACTGCGAATGCACGAATGCTTGATTGCCAAATGTACCTGGCAGAGTCGCTTTAAGGAAAAGTGCAGACACCTGAAACAATGGCTTTCCGTCGAAACAAGATACCCGATGTCAGCGTTATCGTCCATTGGCTCTTCCAGCCAACCCAAGTTGAATTTGCGCACAGCAAAAAGTGCCACAAATCGCTGTTACAATGCTGCGTTCAATGCTGGAACACAATTTAAATAGAGGCTAAAAACAATTTGCGGCTGATATGAAAATAAACTATTATTAAGGTCGCTGCGATTAGACGTTCCCCGACTGCGTAGTTTTCCCGCCAGTGGATCGGTTGAGGAAACGACTTGAAAAGGTGCCTGCTCACGTTTTGGCTTTGTTCGGGATACGATATCGATGGGGGGAATCGGGGGGATTACTCATGCGGATATCAGCTCGTCAGCTCTGCCCCATCTCCTTCTCCCTTCGAAGAAATCGCAATTGTTTTTGTTTGGCTCCGCTGCTTTGTTCTGCGATCGTGCGGTTCAAAGTTCGGTATAATTCAGCTTGCTAATGCGAGTAGCGAAAACCGATTCTCCTTGGGATATCTACTTACTACAGAGCGAAAAAATGCGTTGGGATTTCCTAAAACAAGTTTGGTCATATATTTTTCCGATCTTTGTCACTATCTTTCCCCGCACAAACTCGACTTTCTGTTTGCAGCCTAGACTCATGCTTGAAATATGCGATTGCTGCCATCTGGCCTTTGATATTACTAATTTCCCCCATTAAGCCGGCAAACTGCCCAATTTCTCTGTTTCTTTCCGTGTTCTCCCTCCGGGAGTTTCGCTCCACCAGATCCAAGTGCAGCTGTACCCAAATCGCACTGGATTTCCCACTGGGCCGCCGCTTTGTATGTGTTTTCGGTCAGCTGTTTGGAGCAGCAGAACGCCAACGCACACGTAAACGCCATGCGCACTACCCCACAGACACACACGCACGAAAAGATTGTGAGTGTGTGCTAGCACATGAACTGAGCACCGAACAAAACGAGAGAGAGAGCACTTCCCCATTGACGAAACCCAAGTAGTATCTCGCAGATGGCAGTGGTACCGCTTTCTGCACTCCGATGATGTACAAGGTGTTCTTAAAAACTGATGAGTAGGAAAAGTAATGTATACTAGATGCACCCACCAATTCGAAGATGTTCTAAGCCAACTATTCCGCTGATTAACAAGCCCATGAGTGTATGCCAGCACCAAAGTATCTACTGTTAGGTACGAGTATCTAGGTACGCCAGCACTGGCAGTATCTGAGCGCCCGCTCCGCTCCCTCACAGATACAGGTACTCGGGCGGAGCGGAAAGCGCTCTCGGCTGGCAGCTGGTGGCTGGTAGCTTAGCAGCCGCCGCAGCAGCTCCGCAGTTTCAGATTCAGTTTCAGTTTCAGTTCTTCGTCGTTCGCTGCCTGATTGTAGTTGCCTCCTGCGGCACAGCGGGATTTGGCCAGGAATCGAGTCCAATCGGAACGGATCGGATCGCGGTGAATAAAAACTCGTTTCGCCCCGCGAAAGACACACTTTGCGTGTTCCTGGACTGCGCGCTGCCATCTGGGACCGCTGCTCTCCCGTAGAACCGCCCTCGCCCTTGTGGCGGATTTGAATAGCTGGCGTTGTTGTTTGTTTGTTTGCTGCCTCAACCATAACAAAGAAGACACGGGCACGGGCACGAGTGCCTCTGAATGTGAACGCGCTCCGAGCGGACCAAGTGCCCAAAAGTATCTAACGTGTGCGGCAGTGGAAGCGGGAGCGGGAGCGTGAGCGGAAGCGGGACTGTGAACTATCTCTTCTGGCAGTGGCCAAAAAGACATAATGCTAATAAACCAAAAACACGTTTTATGCCGTTCGTGTGTCGCTCTTCTCGGAAAAAACCCTCATCATAATCGAAACACAAATCCAAAGGTGAGCGCTCGGGCAAGAAGTGATTCCAGTGAAGTAATTGCGTCGTTCGAAGACACTCTGCTTTTGCTCCAGTCTGCAGTCGCAGCTTGGCCAACCCAACCCCGAGCAACTCCGTCGACAACCTCCCCCTAGGTAGACCCATATGTATCTTTAGCGCTTACTGCGTTTGTATCTGTTAAGAGCGCCTGCGCTCTCCGACGAAGAAATTTTTGCAATGTTCTCCGGCGGCGGTGGCTGTTGTTTTCAAATGTTTGTGCCGCGCCAGTTGTTAATAGCACATGACACATCTGAACTGGCCAGGAGCCCCAGGTTCAGGTGCTCCGACCCCCGGACACCCTGGTCGTTAACCAAAGCCAGATCAGGCCAGAGAGACTCGCAGGGGTCGGGGACTCGGGCGCGGAGACTGACCTACTTCGATTGCGGTTAGGGTAGGACCTCATCTCGGGTCATCCACCCACGAAATCCGCGGGGAACGTGCGAAATTCCGCGGGCCAACAGCTCGAAACGTCGCATGGTCCGGCGGATTGATCCCCAGATTAGACAAACCGCAGCTGTGCGTGGCCAGTTTCGAGTGGCGGCCCCGAGATAAGAAGTCGATGGCCGCCAACAGCTGGCAGTCGTATAGTCGCAGTCGTATAACCCGTAGTAGGTGCGATTACGCGCCTTACATCTCCGGCGATTAGCGAAAGGAAGCCCGTCCAGTAGCAGGAAGCCTATCGCCCCGCACATCTAATCGCGATTCGAACTGCAAACAAATCTGTAATAAATACCCGTGTACACTGGCAGAAAACCACGACCCCTGATCTAAAAAACACCTTTGGGATAAACAAAGGCCGCGAAGGTGTTTATCGAATACCGAAGTAAACAAGAAATCTTAACAGGCCGTAAATACCCAACATCACAATTCACCGCGTAATTTCTAAATGAGTTTGAGGTGTTTTTTTTTTTTTTTTAGCGCACTTTAAGATTTTTACAGAACTAAGCCCAAGTGATTATATAAATTTAAAAAAACGCTGAGCAAAGCTTTTAATCAAATTAGATAGAAATCCGATAGGAATTACTAAGAACCCTTGTTTCGGCGCGGTGTAGGAGTAACTCGGAAACCTCATCGTTAAACGGTAAGCGACAAATCTTATCAGACGGCCACCTGCAAAACTGAGTCCAAGTGCAGGCAACCTCAGCTGCTGTGGACTTTGCGAGTGTTGCGGATCCACCGAGCGACCAGCAGCAGCAGCAGCAGCAGCAGTACCTTTTCCGGCGGTGCGGGAGCACTGGGCAGCGGTTCTTGGCCGGACAGCTGTTGGCGAAGCCGATTGTCTGAGCCCTCGAGTGTCTGGCATTGAATTGAGCGTTTATCGGGCGAGCTCGGCAATTGTCGGGGTTCTCAACTGGGTCTCAGCTCAGTCTGGGTCTCTGTGCGCTGTAATTAGAAATTCATGCTGCTGGCCCAGCTGCCATTGAGCAACCTCCGGCGCTTTGGGAGGCCTTTCGAAGGGGGCGGTGGGCGGAGGGCGGCACTTTCTGAGCTGTGTGATGTAATGTGGCGAGTGTGTGAAGGGAACGTTTAAGAGTGCTCGAAAGTGCGTGTCTGTGTGGGTGCGCCAAATCAATAGACGATTCCCAACGAGGTGTTGGCATCATTTAAATTATGCTTGATTTGCATCGCTTTCCCATTTCCCTTCCTTTGCAGAGCTGAACTGAGGTGAAGCAACCTACGCTACTCGAGTACTTCCAATGCAGATGCCAATCCTCGGTGTATTCTATTAACAGGAGAGTTCAAGAGTCACAAGTATACGTCACAAGCCAAGCTGAATCGAGCATAGGTCAAGTGAGCCCAATGCTGACGCCAGTCGCCAATTGCAGCAGCAGCAAGTAAACAGATTCTCAAAGGAAACCACACGCACCAAGCCATGAACGAGCTGCAGGCCTCCAGTGTCCCGCTGGTGGACAAGTGCTCCTCCCACGCCGTCATACTGCCGGCCGCCAAGAGCCCCAACAAGGTGTCTGATTCAGCGGCCCCAACTGCGCCCAACGCCGTTCTCTTCACGAGCGGCAACATGTCCCTATCTACGCTCTCCACCGGCAGCAGCAACCCCAATCCAAAGCAGGAGCCAGTGCCCCTCCTCAGCCAGCTGAAGCTGACCAACGACCTCAAGAAGAACAGCCATGGGTAAGTGTCCAGCTCCTTCATTCCTTCAGGGGAAAAACTCACACTGATGCCCTGAACATTGTACCTTTTAAACAATCACTTCTGGATTCTATACTGTAATTGCATTATCCGGGATTAGGGGCGAGTGGGGATTGGGGATTGGTCACCCAGACTGCTGGGACCTCAGCCGTGGGTACAGAGGAACTGAATTGAATTAGGTCCCCTGGCCCTGAGCTGCCGTATAGAATTGCACTCGCTCCTGCGGACAGCCTGCGATTTCCGCTCGTGTAAGCCAAGGCCATCGGCTTCCCTGCGGGAGAGTGGGTGGGCAGAAGGTGGCCAGGTATCAGCTAACTTATCATGGCGTCACAAGTCACTTTCCGCTGAGGTGACACTTCTATTTCAGACACCTCTACGCATGACCATTACACAGACCAAGGGCGGGAGTTCGGAGTTCGGGCATGAGCTATTAATAAGATCGTCAAGTCAAAATTAGCACGCATCTGTAATGCCTGTATCTTCCTTCCGCTGGAAAGTGCCACCTGCCACGAATCAAGGTGTGCCGGAAGAGAAGGAAGGAGCAGAGGCGCTGGAAAATCGATGGCTCTACTACGTCTCACATATCGCGTGTCGGCATCGAAATGGTGCCAACCACGCCCCCGCAGGAGCTATGCACAGTTCCTAAAAATTTAAAGTGTCTTCGCAAGCCAAGTCACTTTGCACAAAAATGGGTCTTTAGTCTGGTTCTTGCATTACAATTGAGAACCTTAAGGCTCCTTCATCCCATGCAGCCTTGAACTGGTTTCCAGCGCCTTAATTAAAATGCAAATGGAAAATCTATTAGAACATGAACACGCCCACCAACTAATCAATGCAGGCCCAATGTAATTAAACTTTTGCTGGGCAGATGGGGCCTTCAAGGACCACCTCTGAATGCTGCACACTCTTAGCAATCAGGTGAGCTGCAGATGCCAGGATTCGTGGGCAACCATCGGGAAAGTAGCCACAAGGAGCACCTTCATAGCCGCCTAGCCTACGTGTCCCTTGGCCCCTCCCCCCTCCGTCGACACCGCCATAAATAATAAGCCACAAGCAAACGCACATGAGTGTGGCAAGGGAGAAGGAGAAAAACATACTTCAGTGAATGAAACGCCGCCAAATGGCAAGAGCGGTAGAGGCCTGGCAAACAATTGAAGGGGTCTGGGATCGAACACCGAAAGGAGGTTACTCTCCTCTTGACGTTTCCTGTTTTAAGCAATCCATTCCCCGAGAAAACAAGCTGTAAAAGTTTAAGATGTTTCGGTATTTACACGTTTTTCATGCCCCAAAGACTGCGGCCATGTCTTAATATGTTTGTGAGCCGTTTAGTCTGTGTAAATGCGAGAATGTTTTGTCGAAACAGCAAAACGGAATCAAGCAACCTTACGGTCTAGCGAAGGGACCTTTTCCCGAGGCAGGGTGAGCGGGGCAGGACCTCTGGCAGGGGGGACAGTCGAGGACCTCGCGGCGCCGCGTGCCGGGAAAAATCGAACAAGCGCCAAGCTGTCCAACGTCGTGCCGCAGTCAGCAGTTGGACTCCGTTCGGCTTTTAGTCCTGCGGCAACATCGCGTCTGTGTGCGGCACTCCGTCAGTTTGGTTGCGCCTTAAATATTTATGTGCTTATTAGAACGGATAGAACGGTTCTCCCGCAACAAAAAGTCGGGGCTGAAAACTACCCGCGGCTCTTCACGTGGTCGCTTTGCGGGCGATTCTGGTTTTGCAAAGTGAACAACACACGACGAGTTCGCCGGTCGGTTATGTAACGTGAAGTTGCGGCAAACTCAAAAGCGACAAAGGCCGCACTGCTGTGTTGGACTTGGCGGCGTCTCCAAATATTTTCTCTGTCGAATGACAACCTGTGCATCCTTGAGTCGCTCGGGCGACCGCAAAAGTCAGCCAGCCAACACTCGAGGCATGTTGACCTTCTCCCCGATTCGAGGGCACGGAAGGCAGCAGCAGCAGTCCCGGACAGGACCTTCTCCCACGCTCGCTGTGCCCGTCGAATGCCTGTCCTCCGCCCCACCTACTCGCCCACCCACCCACGCCCTTCCGTCGACCACAAGCCGCCCACACATCCGTTTCCATATTTGATTGGCCTTGCCGCGTTTCCTAATAGCTGAAAGGGCCAGGAATTAAAGCCACATGATTGTTCCCATGCGTGGGGCTTTGATTGTCGTACCTTCGTATTTTAAATAACACTGCAGGGTCATTTTGTGTGTGGTACATGAGTATAACAGCTTTTTAACCAGATTCAATCAATATCGGTAACGTTTAAATTATGGATTTCAAACAATAAGCCCTGCCACTTGTTTAATTGAGCTCTCCTTGGACTTCTTCAAGACGCTCGTTCCTTCACATACGAACCTCTCAGCGAAAAGTACACTCAAAACGATTTCGATTTCGCGGAATCTTAATTGACTTGCTTGGGGAACGGAGAACCGCGCTCCTACTGTTCTGTCCAAGATACCATCGTTGGCACACTTGCTGTTTTCATATTTTTATTAATTGCGACGAACCGCCTGTGTCCCGCTCCTGCTAGTGTGGCGTTTATGAGCCGCTTAATTGTCGTTAAGCGGGATGATCTAACGCCAGCTGATATTTCCGGTGGTGGCGGCTAATCAGAGCGAGCGCTCTGTAACTAGGGCCGCGGCCCAAGGCTCGGGAGCCAGAAAGTGTAAGCCCGAAAGCAGAACGGCAGCAGTTCAGCTAGCAGATATGCATTACTAAGTAACCAGCAGCAGCTGCTTAATGCTTTATGGCGGCTATCAATCAATTAGGTAGGGCCGCAATCGATGCCCGAACCTGGCAACAATTACCACGCACTCTGATTGATAAGCAATCGAAGACCGAAGACCCGGACCCGGAAGGGATTGCGTGGCTGACTTCATTTGAATCCAATTGAATGGCCAATTCAGCAGCAGAGTTGCGCAGAATTTCCCACCTCGCACTGCCCCCGGGGAATTCTGAGTGCATTTTCGCAAGACAAACTGCCCCGACTTCGTCGAGTCTTCGTTGAGTGCGTGCCAGCGTTCGTTGGGTTCGTTAACATGCACTCCGGGTGCATGCGCACTCGAAATGTACTCGCTCTCGGTGCTCGTGCACCCAGATATTCGCGGGAAGCGATTCGCAACCGAAGCCAAAGCCAAAGCCCCCCGATACACCGATACACGGATACTGCGGTACAACGATACTGGGGCCACACAGAGCCACATTTATCGTGCTGAAAGAGGCCAAAGCAACCAGAACACAACAAAGCAAAGCAAAGCAAAACAAAACAAATCAAATCCGAGCGGAGCAGAAACAACTGCGATGACGCCGAAATCGCCGTTGGAGAGTGTTGGTACTAGGCTCTCGACGTATCTGTATTCACTTAGCGTGGCCCGCAGCCAACAGCTGACTTCCCGCGCCTCCGTCTCCGCCTTCGCCTTCTCCTAAATGTCTTGCCATTACGCTCGCCTCGAAATTATAGAATTATTAAAGCGGATTCCACTCTGTAATTGGCCACTCTATTCAGGGAGAACTGTCCATTAAATTCCCGCAACATCCGCACTTACGCTGCAATCCGAGAACATCTACTTATAATCTTAGCAACTAATATATTTTGTTAGCGAACTCTCCCACTTTTATTCGCCTAACCGTTGGCAAACAAGAATATTCTGAAGTCGCTGGCTAGACACACTGACCTTTAATCCCCTTACTGGATATTGCTCGCTTTGGCTCATTGAGGGGCTTCCCAATCAATCAATTTCCCCAACTAGCTCAACGAATTTGCACCCGAAAGATGTAATGTTAATTGGCGTTGGCCGCTGCAGTCGCCGGCGTCGGCGGACTTATCAATCGAAGTCGGCCGGCCGTCGGCATGCGACCAAGCAGCCACTAATGAAAACGCACTCGGCACTTCGGCCCAAGGTATGGGCAGCCGCATCTGGCAGGCGTTTCATGAATGAAACAAAAACCAGACCGAACTTTGGCCTTTCCAGCGTGGAAGGGGTGAGTGGCTGAGTTTGTAGGTGGTTGGTTGACAGCTGTGGGACAATGGAAGTCATTGGGCTGCGCACGGAAGGGGCCACGAGTGCCAAACCTTGCTGATTGATCCATTGATTGACTATTCAGGTCACCTAGGGGCGGCATCATGAGCCGCTGAAGAGCGCGGCGCGAAGGGGAAGGGAATCGGTAATGGAGCTGACACTCACGCGCTGCGTCAGCGCCGGGAGCGGGGGCCTCCAGAACTCCAGCTTCGAGGCCTCGGCCTCCCAGTCGCAGGCGGATGTCAACCGGCGGAGGTCCGCCTACGCGGCTGCCTATGCGGAGATGCTGCAGGAGGCGGGCCGCAACGAGCAGCGGCGCTCCATGTCCTTGATCCAAGCCAGGCTCACGAAGAACGGCTGCTGCGTGAGCTCTCTGCAGAGGAGGCCCGAGGACGAGATGGCCAGTTGGCTCAAGTAGGAATTGCGGAGTCGCTCGGATCTGCTGTTCACTACAACCCGCTAAAACAACTCCACTCTCTCCTCCTTTCAGGTCGCAGAACAACCTCTGCAACGGCGGCGTGGGCGGCAACAACCACGCCCTGGCCCCCAAGGTGGCCAACAACAGTGGCGGCAGCCCCAATGGCCAGAAGAAGGGCACCATCGCCCTGTCCCATCTGCCCCAGAGGCCGCCGGTGGACATCGAGTTCTGTGATATATCCTACTCGGTGGCCGACGGCCACAGGCGGGGCTTCAAGACCATCCTGAAGAGCGTGTCGGGAAAGTTCCGGAACGGCGAGATCACGGCCATCATGGGACCTTCCGGCGCCGGGAAGAGCACGCTGATGAATATCCTAGCCGGATACAAGTAAGTCAAGTCACCCCTCGAAGGCTCAGTTAACAACTTAACTTACAAAATACCGTAACTTCCCAAAGGACCTCCCAACTGAGCGGCTCGGTGCTGATCAACAGCAAGGAGCGGAACCTGCGCCGCTTCCGCAAGCTGTCCTGCTACATCATGCAGGACGACGTGCTCATCGGCAACCTGACCGTGCGGGAGGCCATGATGGTGGCCGCCAACCTGAAGCTGGGCAAGAACATGATCAGCTACGCCAAGGTGGTGGTGGTCGAGGAGATCCTCGAGACGATCGGCCTGAAGGAGTCGGTCAACACGCTGACCTGCAACCTGTCCGGCGGCCAGAGGAAGCGCCTCTCGATCGCCCTCGAGCTGGTCAACAACCCGCCCGTGATGTTCTTCGACGAGCCCACCTCCGGCCTGGACAGCTCCACCTGCTTCCAGCTCATCTCGCTGCTGCGCTCGCTGGCCCGCGGGGGCCGCACCATAGTCTGCACGATCCACCAGCCGTCGGCGCGGCTCTTCGAGAAGTTCGACCACCTGTACCTCCTCGCCCAGGGGCAGTGCGTCTACGAGGGCCGGGTGCGCGGCCTGGTGCCGTACCTCTCCTCGCTGGGCTACGAGTGCCCCTCCTACCACAACCCCGCCGACTACGTCCTCGAGGTGGCCTCCGGCGAGTACGGCGAGGCGGTGCCCAAGCTGGTGGAGGCGGTCAAGAGCGGGGCCTGCAAGAAGTACGCGCACAAGGACTACGGGCTCACCCTGGCCCAGAGGGGCTGCCACAACGTAATCGTGAAGGGGAGCGGCAGCGGGGCGGGCAACGCGGCGGGCAACGCAGCGGCCACCCTCACCCTGGAGGACGAGAAGCCCCCGCTGGCGGAGCTGGAGGAGCGGCAGGCGGAGCCCACCGGCGGCGAGGAGGCGGAGCTGAAGCCGCCGAAGCTGGAGACGCAGCAGTCGCAGAACTCGGACTGCAGCGTGGTCAATATGCCCACCGCCGCGGTGGACGACAGCTGCAGCTTCAGCTCCTCGAAGGGCACCCACAACGCGGTGGGCTCGGGGTCGGGGGGCCCCAGCGCCGTCGTGGGCTGCATGACCTCGCTGCTGGACTCGCACGAGAGCGTGGTGACGCTGCCCAGCAAGACGGGCTTCCCCACCAGCGGCTGGACGCAGTTCTGGATCCTGCTCAAGCGCTCCTTCCGCACCATACTGCGCGACAAGATGCTCACCCACATGCGGCTCTTCTCGCACGTCATCGTGGGCGCTATCATCGGGATGATCTACTACGACGTGGGCAACGAGGCCAGCAAGATCATGAGCAACGCCGGCTGCATCTTCTTCGTGTCCCTGTTCACCACCTTCACGGCCATGATGCCCACCATCCTGACCTGTGGGTTGATCGATTTCGAGGTTGCGGGTTGGCGCTTCTAATCTGGAATCTTTAATTCGCAGTTCCCACTGAGATGTCGGTGTTCGTGCGGGAGCACCTCAACTACTGGTACTCCCTGAAGGCCTTCTACTTCGCCAAGACCATAGCGGACATGCCGTTCCAGGTGGGCACTCCTCCATAGTTCTAATTGACTAGTAGTTCCTCAATCCACTGGGTCCTCCTTCTGCAGATCGTCTTCTCCAGCGTGTACTGCCTGGTGGTCTACTACCTAACCTCGCAGCCCATGGAGCTGGAGCGGGTATCCATGTTCGTGCTCATCTGCGTGCTGAACTCGCTGGTGGCCCAGTCGCTGGGCCTGCTGATCGGGGCGGGGATGAACATCGAGACAGGCGTGTTCCTCGGCCCCGTGACCACCATCCCCACGATACTGTTCTCCGGGTTCTTCGTGAACTTCGACACCATTCCGGGCTACCTGCAGTGGGTCACCTACGTGAGTTACGTGCGCTACGGATTTGAAGGTGAGCTCGATCCTACCAGTTGCACCACGAAAGCCCTATCAACACGCAATGTTTCAGGTGCAATGGTGGCCATCTACGGAATGGACCGCGCCAAGATGCAGTGCAACCAGATGTACTGCCACTACCGCGTGCCCAAGAAGTTCCTCGAGGAGATGTCCATGGACAACGCCCTTTTCTGGGTGGACGCGGTCGCCCTCATCGGAATCTTCTTCGCCCTGCGCATCATCGCCTACTTCGTGCTGCGATGGAAACTGCACATGATCCGCTAAGCGGATGGTTCGGGGACTTGTTCATAGACTAGGCTATCATTACTACCATACGTTAGACCACCTGTATATAGAAGGCGCACGGAAGGTTGGGGGAATGTAGTTTAGGGAGCTAAGGGAGAGTGGGTTCGGTGGGTTCAGTGGGTTCAGGAGGGCAGGATTGTAGCTAGGCGTAGCCTTACCGCATTCTTCAATATCTCCCGTCGGGCTTTTTACGTTTATACAGACAGACACACACCCACACACTCGTAAGCACAAGCATTGTGTCGGTATCTAGAAGACGATTCTAAATATATACCCATGGATATATATACACAAACAGTAGCTGTTCTGCATACCAAAACGAATGAAATTTACATAGATTTATATATGCATAGGAGGACCCACGTAGAGCACCACTAATACACACTTTAATCGAGGTATAATTCTTGTGACCAAGCAGAAAAGAGTCTGAACTTAAGTAGGTTGAAAACATAACAAATTGGGGCAAGATTTTCCGATCGGAATCCAAATCGAAGCAGAATTCAACACACGACTTTCTCCCAACGTTCTTCACTCCGTCCCTATGTTGTACTATTAAATTCAACTTTCTCCAATTATTTGGCAACCTTTGCGAACCGAGAGAGAACCAGCGTGCAATCGAACGGAAGTTGAGGCGAGAGTGGAAAGCGGAAACGGAAACCATTCCCTTGTGATAGAAAGCGGTGCAGTCCGGGTTGGAAAACCATTTCACGGACAGGGAAGTTTGAAAAAGGATAAGGCCCTGGCCATCTGGTGATATAAAGCAATTCCTATTATTACGAGCACGTGCAGAGGCGGTGAGAAGCAATCGGATTTGTGTTAGCTACGCGTATTTGTGATTATTCATTTTAATTTAGTACATGTTTAGTTTAATTTTCTACGTCTACATTTATCATGCCAAAATAAATGCAATTTTCATTTTGACCGCACACTCTCCTTCCTTTTTAAGACCCTCCCAAATAAATCTTAAGTTAAAAACAAAGTAGATCATAAATCTGATCCATATCGGTGTTAATGTAGGGTTGGGACTATAAGTGAAATCCAAAAATAAAGGGAGTTAAGTGCCCAAAATCATACAGTGGGCAGATTAAATTGTAAAATGTTAAAAAATACACCTTTAAGCATGTCGACCATACATGTTTTCTTTTTTGTTTATTTTTAATTTTTTAAATATTGTTGTTCGAATGCGCGGTATCTTTATTTAATGCATTGATTTATGAGAATATGAGAACAAATATGTTGTTTATCTTACATTTGACAGTATAGCCGCAAAACTGTCGAACAGGTTTGAAATGCATTGTGCCGATGGTTGAAATGAAAATTGAACTCATTTTGAGCGGAAATCGGTAGCGGCAAATATAAGAGTAATTGTAGAATACCCGTCTAATAAGCAATCCGTTGAATATATCTGTTGTATATGACGTATTGTATATTTCGGTAGATTGTAGCGCATTGTACATTCAAGTTAATGAATGGTCATTATTGTACACAAATCCATACAGATAACTGTCAGTATCTAGAAGAGTACTTTTAATAAAGAGCCCAGAACATCATCAAGCCAAGTTAAAAATCATGTTCAATGTCGTAAAGTAAGTTCGTTGAAAATAACGCTTAGGGCCTGGTTTTTATTTAAAATGTGCAACCAACAATCTACATGTCATATACATAAATACATGGTTCTTGAACTGGATGAACCATAAGGTTCATGTCTACGCTACGCGTGCAAATTTCCCAACAGATGTCCAACACAACACAATAGTCAACAGAGGGGGCTGCCAAAGCGCTCAGATAATATTATATTGCGGAATTCGGCCGCTGGTATCCCCACTTTTTAACATTTCCCATGATTCCAAAGTAGGGCCCGAAAGTAGCTCCAAAGTTCCACATATTCAAGAATTTTTACCCGATCTCAAAGTGACATACCTCAAAACTTTTGTAATTTAATTCTCAATGCAGATCCTGTGGCATACCTCTAAACGTTTCTTAGAGAATTGTTGAAGAAACTGCATTCAAGATTTTCCATTCTAAGATGGTCGATATTTTGACCCCTGTTCATGTCAGATTTTTCCAAGTTTTCGATAATGTTCCTTGGATGGCCCTCTACAGCACTTCCAGATCCCATAACTTGGCCAATTTTAATGCCATTCCAAAGTGGCATACCTCTAAACGTTTCTTAGAGAATTGTTAAAGAAACTGCATTCAAAATTTTCCATTCTGAGATGGTCGATATTTTGACCCCTGTTTATGTCAGAACATGAGCTTCGCTCTTGTTTCGAGTTTATTTTGCAATGTAGTAGAATGGCCATAAGCTGTAATTCCTCAGCCCATAACTTTACACTTTTTTCTCAATTTTAGATGGGAATAAGCGCTAAAGACTAGTGGCATTATTCTAAAACAATCTTTTATCTTTTCCATCAAATATGTTTTTCAATATAACCCTAAAGAAGATAACAGAGAGGTCGAAGTTGGGAGTAGGAGTGAAATGGCAGACCCAATGTCACCGGTCAAACGGATTGATTTTTATTGGCTTGTTGCTTTTTCGATTCGCTGATAAATTGTTAATGTCTCTGTACACAGACACACACAATCAGGACCGGCCATAGAAACACTCACATGTGCTGGTAAAATGCAAACGCTGCAAATTTATTATTTATGTGCCGCTAAGCTTTGTGCGCATATCCGTGGGGCAGGGGGTAAAGGGTGTTGTGGGGTAGGGCCTCCCTCAACATTTTTAGCGATGCAGATTCTCTAGAATAAAGTACACTGAACTCTTAATAGCAGACTTGGTATTCTGACACAATGAATGTAAATAGTAATTATGAATAATTTAACAACATGAATAATCTAGACTGTACCCAATATAGTACAAAGTAATTTAATATACCTTCCAGAAATAGCTTATCAGGCTTCCTACAAATTGGTCCAGTGCAGTCCTGCAGGCAAATTATATTATTTTGGGCCAAAAGTTTCGGCCCGTCGTATAAAATTCCATTTTATGTGTGCGCATAGAAAATCCGTCCACTCCTGCGGGACAGGACATATACAGAGGGGGAGAGAGAAACACCCCAGTAGTAATTTCAATAAATCAAACACATCATTGGGGTGTATGCAGATGGTAGGACGAACGGGTAACAAGGCCCGGCAATTAATGCGCGCTGCCAAATCAAGAAGCCAACAACGAGCAAAGTGCAGTTCGCACTTTAATTAATTAGACATTCATTTGCAGCACTCCCCGAGGCCCCTGGAACCCGCTCCCCCGTCGTTTCAGTCGTTATCCCCGGCTGTTTGTTCCTGTTAGCCGATTTGTAATGTGGCAGGGGCAGGGACAGCGGCATCGGCATCGGCGCTCGGCGGTCCCCGACGGCAGTGGGTTTCAGGTGGCAGGAGACAGGAGACAGGAGACAGCAGGCATTATGCTTCGCAGGCGTAATAAATTAGCACAAACATGCCACTAAAATGGCACCACGCCCCCACCTGATGCCCCGAAGGCGCCGGCGAGTGACCCACTCTAAAATGCTGTCAATGCAGTTCGCATGCCGATGCAATCCAATCCTCAGCCTCGTTCGCAGCCCAGAAGGCAACAGCACGTCTGGGATTTGGCTTGGGATTTGCGCACAATGTGTTTAGTGGCAGCAACACCAGCTCTCGGCTTGCAGGTGGCATATACTTGCCAGGGAGGAGCAGAGGAAGCCGGGCACCGGCGACTAAATCAAATGAAATGTATGCAATGCATAGCCAAGTAACCGGTCCAGTTCCTTTTGTTGCTCGGGGACCAGGGTATTAATTGCAAGTGCAACTTCAAGCTCCCCATTGTGTTCCCGGGTAACTGCAGCATGCAATTTGTTAACATATCAAGAGTCATTAGATTAGGGGATTGTCAGGAAATGGTGAGAGAATTCATTGAGTGTGGCTTAAAAGAAGAAGAGGAACGGAACAGCGAGGAAACAGAAACTATCTTAGAATTACAACATATATATGTGCAATCGCTAAGAGCTATCTTGTTGCAAGAGATGTTGGAGTTCAGTTCGAAGCGCATTCCCAGAAACTCCTGAATGATCAGCAGGGGAAAAGGATTCTCTTCGAGCTACAGTTGTGTCCAAGATTTCCCCACTTCCTCCTGACTTCTCGCTGCATTCGGAATTTATGGGTTTTATTGTGTGATTTATGCATCGTTCGCCCAATGTCCAAATGGCGGGAATGGCTGAATGGCAGAATGGCCAGAGCACGCAACTTGGAAAAAGAGCGCGATGGAGATTTTTGCGCCGGAAATGCGCCCATCGACTGCGTGTTAAGTCCTGCACACACTCGCACGCACTGGTTCATGGTGAAAGTTTTTTATTGCCGTCAGTTTTTATTGCCGAGCAGTCCCAGTGCAAGTGAGAGAGCCGCGAGCGCTCGTGTTTTACTTATTTAATTTCTCAGCCCAGTTCTGCTCGGTGTCCGTGTCCATGTCCGTGTCCGTGTCCGTGTCCATGTCGCGGGGTGTTTGCCCGGGACGAGGGACGTCGCAGTCGCAGCTCGGTAATTGACAGCGGAAGGAGCACGTGTGAGGTCATTGATATGGCGCTTTGGCCCGCTAATGTGTCTGCCGCCCACCGCCCACCAGCCACCAGACACCACCCACCACCCACCACCCACTACGCACCACTCACCACCCGCATTATGCGTCCAAGCGGTCCGCCGAGCACAATGGCAGTGCCAGGGAGACGAGGACGTGCCATAAATCCCAATCGGAAGGTGGCCGCCCTGTCATTCCAGTCAGCAATCAGGCACATTACGCATACGCCCCGTTTGCGAGTCGCAGATCGCAATGCATCACTGTGAACTGTTCGCATTGATTGGTTTCGAGAAAAATTTGCAAAAACATTTTACCGTTGTCACCGTTGTTACCGTTGTTATCGTTTGAGTTTCCAAGAACGCCGAGGTATGCAAATTTAAGACAACTAGTTCTAAAACCAAAATAAACGACTCTGTTAAAATTACGTTTCGTTTCGGGCCCAACAAGGATGGTGAAACAGAGTACAGGCCTCTAGATCCTTTTTATTGCCTTCGACTTTGAGTTTAAAGCCAGAAATAAGCGAAATTTATTGCACTTCTGCAATTATTGCAAACCAAAGCAATAACCGAGAGCCCAGTGCTTGACATTGCCTCCGGCGGGCCTTTCACGCCTCGCTAACTTGTTGGCCTGCCTCTTTCGGCTGAAAGTTCATTTTTATTGTGCTCGACACTTAACTTTATTAATTTTCCAACCGATGACGATTGTGGTGTGCGTATGGCGGAGCTGCTTTAGTAATCCATTACCGCAGGTGCCGTAAAAATGCTTAGTTTACGATTTGCGATTAACGCGAAACAAGTGCGCCATAAAACCCACGGAGTCGCAGTCCCTGAGTCCGGGCCTTTCCACCACCCCAGCTTGGTTCGATTCTGGCATCTGGCCATTATTCGATTAATTTCAATAAAACGAATCGAAATTTTAACAGCCAGACACAGAGTTGACAGTCTGCAGCTTGGCAGACATAAAAATCCTTGTAGCGGCAACAAATTCCTGCTCGAGAGTGGCACTAAATCTGCTCGAGCTCCTTTAATTAAAACTTGCGACTCGTGAGTCAACTTTTACGTTTACGATTCCGCTCAGGTTCAGCCGCCTCCAGAGAATCCTCCCCTTGGGCTTCCTTTGACCAAAATTAGGCTGACAAATTATGCAAAAAGCATAAGTGCAAAAAAGCGCCCCACTTAATCACTCAACTTCCTCTTCCTGGCCATCTTTTCGCCTCCTGCTCGAGCAAAAGAAATTAAAGTGAAGTATGCCCGAAAACTTTGGCCGCCTTTCAAATGGCTTTCGCTGTCTCCATCCAGCGTTCCACCGGATGGCGGCCAACTAGACGATAATGTTGAATGGCTGCTTTGAAAGCACATAAATTTTA